CAAATCTGTATTTAAATCGCCTAAAATGAAAATGTTCTCATACTCAGGAATACAATGACTTACAAATAAACTAAACTAGATAGATACAAATTATAATCTACCCTGTGAGGCCTATAAACTACACCATATATACTATTTTGTGTTTTAACTGAAATCCATAATAGTTCAATGTCATTACATAGTTCTACTACTTTATAATTCAATTTATTTGATACGTAAAACCATATACCCCCAACTCTGCCAACACGATCCCTCCTAACAATATTATAATTTTCAATATTGACCATCAAGTCACTACTACATGAGTACAACAAAGTTTCAGAAATTGCCAACATATAATTTGTATCTAATAAAAAATCTTCTATTTTATTTATTTTCGGTATATAAGAGATTGCATATTGATATGTCCTATAGTTATATTATTTTTAATCATTATTCAGTAACCAATTTATTTTGCAAAATATTTAATCAAACTATATCTATCGATAAAGATAAAACTACAATATAATCAGGAAAAGGAAAAAAATCGGATTATCTTATCAAATTGAAATAATTAGGTGCTTGACGTTATCCAGCTCCATCAAATAAGTAAATTTATGTATTTTATTATTCACTTTGCATAGAATTTTACCTTCAGAATACCATACACTTTTTGAGCCAAATGTGTCACATGCTTTTCTGTAGACAGCAAACCTTTTATTAGTTACTCCTCCTTTAATTACTATAGATGACTTTTTCGTTTTACAATTTTCTGTTTGACTTGGTTTCTACAAAATCTCACCATTACATGTCTATTTTTACCTTCTTCTATAATGGAAATCGATATCAGTTTCATTAATTTGAGTAATGAGTTTCTGCTGAAACAGATAGTTGTTATCTTAAGATTTAGATTTTCACCGTTCTCCTCTGGTAGACCATAAATTCTTAAATTATTACGTCGTGAGAACTGTTTTTAATATTTTTAGCTACCCTGTAAAATTTTTATTTATTGTACTATTTTTAAGATGTAGAACTTGATGACCTGAGCTTTGTGAAGGAAAATGAGCGTGATCCTACAAAATCCAAAGCGTACTACGTCCGTTCTTAGGTGTAAAATTCTAATATTTCATATTAGGGATTTTTTGAGCAATGATATATTTACGTCACTGGATTGACGCCCCCCCCCCAAAACGGGCCAATACCAAATCTGGTCGCCGGCGCCAGCCCGCCATAGACCCTTCCTGGAACGTTGGTGCGTCCGGCGGCGCTCTTGACGTAATGGGTCACTTGCGAACATGTGTACCCACAGGACTATCTCGTCCTATCCAAGAATTCTCAAAATATTCGTTTAACTACTTTCTCATCGCAGCAGCGTTATGAATAGGGCTACCATCTAATTGAAACTTCAAATTAAGGATTCTTAAAGGCAAGTCTTCTAATGCGTTCCGAAATTCATTATTAAGAATATTCAAAAATATGTTTACATTCAAATTGCCGTCAAAAAAGAAAGGGCCAGTTATTTTATTCCTTAGTATTCCACACCAAACGTTAACTTTTTGCGAATACTGCCTAAAGAGGCGCAAAGGCGTTTATAATAAATTCTGGATTCTCAGCTGTCAAATGACGACAATTTTGGGCCGAAACTACTCCATTTGTAGTAAATGTGGCCACATCACTAAATAAAATTTTACTTAAAAATTTAGTATTATTTAAATATTCTCCTGTAGCCAATAACAAAACTTCAAACGTCTCTTCATCTCCCAATTTCAAAGTATGGACAATTTTGGTTTAAAAGTTTTTATTTTATTTTTTGCCAGGCACCTCCTGATACTTTCTCTAGGGATATTACTATTTAAACTAGCCACTCGAATACTAGCCCGGGGATTGTTAGCAAAATATTGTAAAATTTGGTTATTATTACTCAATATTCCTTCACAAAGCACACTTCATCAAGCTCTACATCTTAAAAAAATGCGGTTAAAATCGCACAACAAATAAAGATTTTACAGGGTAGTTAAAAAACTATTGGGTTACACTGTACATATGCCCCAATATTCCTTGTAGATAGAGCTACCATAGTTTCCTGCGATCAAGATTGGCAGATTTAACTAAACTCACCTCTATATTAACAAAGATGACAATATTTTTTTTAATTTTCAAATAACTTTGGTTAGGTTTTCTTGAAATTTGATACACCGTTACTCCCATACAGGTGTCAATTTTGTTAACAAGAAACTGTGATAGCTTCATTGCTTTGTACCTACTGGCAGAGAGCAATCTACTAATCTGTAGCTACCATGACAGCATATTATCACCATCGTAGTACCTACAGATTGGTAGGTCGTTTTCTTCCAGTAGATACAAAGCAAAACGTTATGGTAATAATTATCCCGAGGTAGTTTTGTAATATTTATTTTATTTATTCTCCATCAGCGTCATTGGCCAACTTCTCCACGGGCATCGTCTTCGGCTGGCCCTCCCAGATCAGCGACGAATTAATGCAAGGCAAACTCGACTTTCCAATAAACTCCAACGACTTAGGCTGGATTTGTTCCTCCTCCTCCATAGGCGCCGCTCTTCTCGCCCTCTTCATAGGCTCCCTATGCGACAAAATAGGTCGCAAGATCACCATGCTTCTCCTTATCGCCGTCTTTGAGATAGGATGGGCGTTAATCATACTTTCCAACAGCGTTTGGATGCTCATACTAGGAAGATTCATGACTGGAATGGCGGGAGGTTCTTATTGCGTCACCGTTTCCATGTATATCGGAGAAATAGCTCGGAAAGAAGTGAGGGGGGTACTTGGCAGTCTCATACAGTTCATGATATCCTGCGGGATACTTTTCACCAACGTTGCCGGAGCGTATCTGTCGATAAGGTCTTTGTCTATGGCTTGCGCGGCCCTCCCAATTCTTTTTGGCTTCGCCTTCTTCAGAATGCCGGAAACTCCTTTCTATTTGCTACGTAAGGGAAGAATCCAAGAGTCCAAAGAGTCCTTGAGGAAGTTTCTAGGCAAACATTACGTTGATACAGAATATGAGGACCTTAGGCTCCATCTAAAGTGTGACACCAGCGAAAAACTGAGTACCCTAAGTGTTTTCAAGAAAAAATCTGTAAAGAAAACTTGCATCATAGGCGTTGGTCTAGCCTTTATCAAAATATTAACAGGCATAGACTCCGTAACGTCGTACTTGAGTCACATCTTCAGCAAAATGGATATCCAACTAGGTGCACAGAATGCTTCCATCATCTTCGCTGTGGTCGAGGTATTCTCAGTTGTGCCCCTAGTCTTACTGGTGGACAGACTGGGAAGAAAAATTCTGCTAGTAATCACACAGATCGTAATGGGGCTTTGCTTGGGTGCTACCGCTCTCAGTATAGCGGTAGAAAGTGAAAATGCAGTGGTTCAATATATACCAGTGGTAGCCCTGTGCTTGTTCATAGTAAGCTTCTCTGTCGGCATAGGCCCTATAGGGTGGATTCTAACAGCCGAAATCTTTGAAGAGAAGATCAAGGGACGAGCTGTGTCTGTGTGTACATTCCTTATTTGGATCATGGCTTTTGCGAGCGTAAAGTTGTTCGTGGTTTTCGAGGACCTGTGGAATATTTCAGTCCCACTTTACGTTTACTCTGTTATTTCCTTGGGCGGGGCTTTCTTTATTATGTTCTATGTACCGGAGACCAAGAACAAGTCCTTCGAAGAGATAGAAAAAGAGCTTTCGTAATTAGACCTTTGCTGAGGCATTTGAAAAAGTAATCAAAGCTTCCTGCGACAATTAAGTTATTTTAGTGATATATAGAATTGTTTTTATTAAATATATATATTTATAACCGCCTATAATTTCACAAAATCGTAATTTTTATATAGCATGTAACATTATTAAAAATAATTAAACATTTATTTTTTGAGTGCTCTATTAAGATGATTGAAGTGAACGAGCAGATAATTTTGATTAAATAAAGTATCTAATATTTTTGAATTAAATACTTTATTTTTACAGCATACTTCAGACGGTAATATTTTTAGATTTTATCAGATACTTCGTGATTTATTCTTCGTAGTATTATTTGCAAACTAAACTACGTTATAGTATCTTTTTAGTAGTAACTTATTCTCCTTCTGTCTGTTCTCCTGCCAGTTGTTACAGTGGAATCTCTTGAACGAGATGATCTTAGTAACCTCAACATAATGCGTGGAAAAAGCAATATTAACATCAAAGCGATTAAGATTAACTTTATGGTAAAAATTGCTATTGCTAGAGGTAGTGTAATAAGCACAAGTAGGGCGTATACCGGAATCAGTGCTATTTGAATAACGGCGTAGATGCAGTAAATTGTTAGAAGTAGAATCGTTTGCAGAACATTTACCAAATAATAAACGCCCGATAAAATCCACTGGTTGAATGTTTGCAGATAAGAGAATACAATATTTGATGTAACTACATCTCCACCTGAAATATGTTTTATAAATATCTTTATTGAAACACTAAAAATACTTACTAAGCATGAAAGCCTTGGTTATTATTATTTTGTGTAAGTATCACATTTGATTTACTTGTGTCATTGTAACAGTTGCTGTCATTAGGCATAAATCAACTGAACTACTGACATTGAGTTTATAAGTAAGCTACTCTATCTAATGCTCACAGGGAAAAGATTTGTGATCGATTATTAGCGATTATAAAATTTTATAGTACGTGGAATACTTTAGGCATAGATTACAGCGTATGGACTCCTTTATTCAATTTGGGTTTATTACGTTTATATTGAGCTTTGTGTCGAATTGCGTTCTTTTATAAAGGATAATATAATCTGTTTTATTCACTATTTCACTAACTCAAATATTGTAAATTGTATAAACATAAATATTTGTTTCTTATTTAGTGCTCAGAATACATCTTGTGAGTAATACTTTGTAATATTCAGTGTTCAATTGCTTGTATACATGTAAACACAGTCATTGGTTCTCGAAGATTCAATGTAGTGACTTTAGTTTTCCCCTAGAACGTCAAGAAATAAAGGAATCGGGTAGGTTGTGGGTTTTTGACAAGTGTGAAAAGTTAACAAAGAAGTTGTTAATTAGGCAGGTGGGTGAAGTTTCCTATTCGTTACGTAAGTATTTATACAATGTTTGTATATTAACTTGTTACGTATTAATAAATCGATAAAAGGCAGATTTAAAGCAAATGTAATGCTTCTAACCTTTTATGTCGATAATAATAAAAACAGCTGATTATGGCGAAGTGTCAAATTTTGTTTACATTTCTTTTGGGTTTTTATTTAACGTCCCGTCATAAATTTCTTAGATTAACATTGTTTTTTAGGGAGGTGGACACTTGTAAAATTTATAAAAAACTTTTCTAGGTCAATGTCCAAGATTAGTCAGGGATTGGTCAAGATATGAACTAACAACTGCTATTAGCACTAGAAACTGGATAAATAATGAATAACATATTGAATTGTATGCATTGATAAAATTATGGAAGGTATTGTTTGTGCTCAATTCGTATTTTATAATGATTTTGATTCGGCAAACTTGGCTCGAGTGGAATACGTTCCTCCAAATGAATCCAGTAAGTATCTAATAGATTTGTTCCTAAAATTCGTTTAACATGTGTCATTGGAATGTCACAGCTAACGTTTACTTTGATTTTTTTAGCTGGTCTATTATTAAACCATGTCTAAATAAATTCTTAATATTTCTTATATTTGATTATCCAATTTCAGCACTAATCAAACAATCCCCAAACAAATCCATAAACCAAGAAGTTTACGATGCAGAATTTAATATTTGGACCAAACCTGACTGCTGTGGTACTGAATTCGAAAATGGGAACAGGACCTGGTTTTATTTTGGTATGAAAGGTAAGGTTATTTCCTATAACATGTGTAACCTTCTAATTGTACATTACTTAGCTCCAGGCCCTGCATTATATGTTAGGTTTAACATGGTAGATTTGAATCGACAAGGTAAAATGTACAGCCAAGGTATGGCACCAGTTTTTAGGATAATGCCGGGAAAACCCAAGTGGGAACGAATCAATGACAAACCTGTATATAGTGTAAGTGTGATCACTTTATATTGTAAGTACACCTTAGTACCTACTTGTTGTTTCAGTTAAATAATGACATTTTTACATTAACCTTTAAATTCCGGACTCCCGAAAATCCCCTCAGTACCATGTATTTCGCCTTCACCTACCCGTTTTCCTATGTAGAATTAGAAAAAATGATGGTTAACATAGATCAGAGATATTTAAATATGCATCCATACACAGAAGATGATATCTATTATGTGCGGGAGACTATGTGTCACTCTCTTGAAGGGCGCACCATAGATCTGATCACGATATCCTCTTATCACGGGATTACAGGCGAAAGGGAGCCGAGATTGAAAAATCTCTTTACCAACGAGAAGGTCCCAAGGCCACAGAAATTCATGGGAAAGAAGGTAAAAAAAAAGTCCCCGGCCATCGTATTGTTCTCAATAATAATTTTCCTTGATATTTTAGGTAATTTTCATCTCTGCGAGAGTTCACCCAGGTGAGACTCCATCCAGTTTTGTGTTCAATGGGCTGTTGAATCTGCTGCTGCAAAGGGAGGATTTGATAGCCCAACACCTGCGCAGATTGTATGTGTTCAAGATGATTCCGTTCCTTAACCCAGATGGGGTGGCCCGTGGCCACTATCGTACTGACACACGCGGCGTGAATCTCAACAGGGTGTACCTCAACCCCAGCCTGTTCGAACACCCATCTGTATACGCTGCTAGAGCTTTAATTAGGTAGGTATGTTGAAAAATCTTGGCAGAACTACTGTACGTTTGAACTACTCTGTGCAATTGACTTAAATGAGAACATTAGAGTTTGTTGATGAGAAAATCGCTAATGCAATTAACTATAATTAACTGCTTTTTGGCATATTCGTGAGAAATGTTAACTCGGGCTGGCCGAGTTTGTCAAACCAGCAAACCGTACTTGTACGTATTTAAAAAAAGGCAATATTTTTGCCTTTTTCTTTCATTATCACTATTTAAATTTTGATGGTCAGTGGTGTAGAACATCAAAAATTAAAAAAAAATAATATTTTGTTTTAACTTATGGCTCCGTTGCGTAAAATCCCGTGAAAGCAAAATTGTCTGTTATTCGTAAATATCCATAAATAGAGGTTTTACAATATTTTCCAGATATTATCATTTTGGGTTCGAGAAAGAGGATTACGTCCCGAAGTGCAACAATTGCACGGACAGGGGCAACCAGACCGACGGCAACATGACGGAGGACAATGAGAACCAGCAGAACGAAAATATCCGCGAAAAGGTGTCCCACATGACACTGGAGGAGGGGGACGGCCCCTCCACCTCCTGGTGCACCAAATGTAAGAACAGCATTCTTAAGCTAGAGGACACCATGCCGGGCATCTCCAGCATTATCCCTACATTCAACCTAAATACTTCCATAGGGCACAACTTCTGCCGCAACTGCGGGGCGGCTCTGCATCACACCAAGAGCAAGGAGGAGGTGAACTTCGAGAAGGTAGTAATAGGGGCGCACGGCGACGTGAACTCCAACGAATCCAACCTGTTTTTGTACTTGGACATGCACGGGCACGCCTCGAAGAAGGGCATTTTCATGTACGGCAACCATTTCGACGACATGGAGCGGAATGTGGAGTGCATGCTGCTGCCCAAGCTGATGAGTATTAATAATCACAATTTTCATTTCAATGCTTGTAATTTTACAGAAAGGAACATGTATCTCAGGTAGGTGGAATCTGAATGGTTTAATATCTTTAGATAATACTTGATCACCACCGGGATCGCTTTTGATGTAAAAAATTTGAGTTCCCTAGAGCGTATTAACTTTTTCCTTTACTGAGCTACTAGACATTTGAACTACTTATTGTACAGGATGCTTTCTAAGTTTCCTAATTTCAAAAGGTTGCACCTTGTATAATTTTACACTAAAAACTGGATTTTAAAATACGAATTGAAATTAAAAAAAATTTATATAACGAGCGTTCAAATAAAAACGTGGTCAAGTTGGTTCTGAAAATTTGGACGTAGGGCGTAGCGTATAGCAAATGAACTTTAAACGTCATCTGTCAAAGCGCTGTATCGCCGCTTTGTTATTGAAACTGACAGCTGCTATACAGCTCGTTGAGAAATGAGGTTAAGTTGGTCGCTATAAGCTACGCCCTACGTCCAATGTGTCAGAGCCAACTTTGACCACGTTTTTATTTGAACGCTCGTTACATATTCAAATACTTCTGAGGCTGTTTTGGGTAAATAGCTGAAACTTTGCCTAATAATTCACATAATTTTTGGCAAAATTCATTGAATTTGTATATAAATCTGTGAACCAGAGGCGGAGATAGTAGGAGGCATAGCCATTAAAAACTCCAGAAATCTCAACAGTCTGTATCTTCAAAATCAGTCATTTTTGACATAACGTCCATTTAAGCCTTTTGGTCTGAAATCATCCAAAAAACAACCTCCTGCAGTTATGACTTAAAGAAACTTCATGTAACTATTTTTTGAATACATATATAAATTTATGAATATTTAAGAGCATTGTCTTGACTGGGCTGCTGTATTATTCTTGATCATTATCAGGATCTTCATTTTTCAAATTCATTCAAAAGATAAGTTAAATTTGTAAAAAAAATTGAGAATCTTTTAGAGTATGTTAACTTTTCTTCCATACTGAACTACCAGACGTTTGAACTACTACGCATATAACTACCATTTAATACTAGTAAAGTTGAAAATTTTATAACATTTTATTGCAAAATTGTGTTTATTGCAGAAATATGTATTGTGGGTGATTTTTTAAAAGTGATGCTTGTTTTAGGGATAAAAGGGATGGTATGAGCAGGGCGGGTTCGGGAAGGGTGGCAGTTTTGTCTTTAACTGGCATAATCAAGAGTTACACTCTCGAGTGTAATTACAACACGGGCAGGATAGTCAATGTACTGCCCCCTACGATCAGGGAGCCGAGCGGTAAGGTTCACACCTTGCCAGTTCCGCCTAAGTACTCCCCGCAGGTTTTTGAGGAGGTAATGCGCGTATATACTTGTAAAAATGTAAATACTTAACAACGGTTAAACTTTCGAACTCTCTTAAGGTTGGCAAGTCACTGGGAGCCTCCATCCTGGACCTGACGGGGCAGAACCCGTGCTCCCGCCTGCCAAACTCCGAATTCCACTCGCTCTCGGGGCTCAGGGACTGGCTGAGGTCCATGTCCAATGAGTTCCATTGCCACAACCGTCCCAAAATGAGGGCTAGGAGTAACATAGTCGGCCTACAGTCACAGGTAGGCAATAGTGTTGACGATTGTGAACAAGTAAATAACGATAACGTCGATAACGACGAACTTAGTGAGTTTTCTGATGACATACCAGTAACCATTAAGACTTGTGTTATCTCTTAGACGCATTGTTGGGGTGAATAGATGTGGGGCTTCCACTCGTTAGGTCATAGTTGTTTCTTGAGTTTTTTTAATTCAGACTTTTGTTCGGATCAAGTTTTATAAGTACCAAGCTGGTTTTGGTATGGAAAATTTGAAGCAGCTATGACGCCTCTTTGTCTTACTGAACCGTAACATTAAAGGGACCAATGAATTTGCCTAAATAATTTCTTCTAATGCATCGTGATTAAATTACTATGATTAACGTCAATTTCTTTTTGTTCATTTTTGACCACTGCTTTGTCGCGTACCAGGTACTGGTTATTCCTGGCAAATTGTACTGTGACACTCTCCGTTAATGTGAGTTGTTTTTGAATTTCTAAGAATTTAGAATTTAGCACAATTCGCGTCATGGTATGGCTGTACGATAAGATTCCGCCTTCGAATTCACAGTCTATTTTTGGTAACTCGAACTCTGCAGGACATATGACGGGAACTTGCCCTACAGTATGGAATCTTAATTGCTGAATAATCTTAAGCTCGTTTATTTTGGCATTCTGAGCATCTTGGTTCACAGTAGCGAGTTTAATGTGCCTGAGTACATTTGCGGAATAAAAGAAACACGTTGAAGAGTTGGAAACACAATTTACCTAGGAAGGATGGGATATCGTTTGAAGGATGAATCTTTTGAACAATGTAACAGTATTCGGTCAGTCTGGCTTTGGACTGGTCGTTATCCAACAAAGCAATGGATTAATGTACATTAAAAATAAGACAGTAAAAAACGTACATATCTCAGGAAGCTCAAGTACAATCACTAGCTGAATTTTTAATTTTTGATGAAAAACACGTTAAGAAGAATAACAGTCACAATATATACATTAGGGTGGCCCCAAAAAAAAAGGAATATTTTTTCGTGTCTTGTGAAAATATGTTAGTGTATCATGTTTTATGAGCCCCCTCAAAAAATCAGCTCAAAAAAAAATTTTTTTAGAGGTCGCTCAAGAGTTAAAAATTCCAAAATCGTCAAAAATTGAATTTTTGTTTAAATTTTTTTTCTTATTATTTTATCATTTTCTAGGTTGAAAAAAATCTCGATTCTGAAAATTTCAAATCAATATTTTAATTTCTAAAGGTCACATAACTATTTTAACTTTCAAAGTAGTGTAGTGTATGTTTTCGATCGACCTCTAAAAATAAATATCAACGAACTAATAATTTTTTTTATTGAATTTGATGAACAAAAGAATAGAAATAAATTTAAAAATTAAAAAATTATAAATATTTGATACGCAGTGCAATAGTATCTTGCCTCGAGAAATTTTTTAAGTGTCGTAATTTATTTCTATTCTTTTGTTCATTAAATTCAATAAAAAAAATGATTAATTCGTTGATATTTATTTTTAGAGGTCGCTCGAAGACATTTTAGGTACACTACTTTTAAAGTTAAAATAATTATGAGTGGCCTTTAGAAATTAAAATATCGATTTGAAATTTTCATTATCGAGATTTCTTTTGACCTAGAAAATTATAAAATGAGAAAAAAAATTAAATTTTTGACAATTTTGGAAATTTTTAAAGATCTTGAGCAACCTCTAAAAAATTTTTTTTTAACTGATTTTTTGAGGGGGCTCTTAAAACATGATAAACTAACATATTTTCACAAGACGCAAAAAAAATTTTTTTTTTTGGGCCACCCTAATATACATCTATTGGAAGAGAAATTACCAAGAAAATAAACAAGCGAAATTGTGTTTGGTTGGCTACGCAATTCAGAAAGTAGTACAAATACATAGAAATGGACTATTACTGGTACTTGATAACATAAACAGCTGCCTATGCCACAAAAAGGCTCGGCACAGTTTCGCACCGAGTAGGAATAGTAACCTTACAAGGCTGCGGAAAGACTCGTGGGGAGATAACAGTACATCACTAATAATTATATGCGTTAGTTTGGTGGATTATAGCTTTCAAGAAACTTTGCCACATGCAAACAAGGCTTGCTGGATCAAAAATAAATCTACTTCAAACCTCAACACCAAGACTGTTGAATTAAAGAGTGGCCTCAAAAAACCTGTGATTTTCGCTCGTTTTTTCACAATACGCAGAGAATTTAAAAAAATACATAAAAATATGTTTTTGGTCGCAAATTACTTGTCACAAAAAACTGGAATGAGCATAGCTTTTAGTATTTTGAAACTTTTAAAAATCTTAGGGATTGAAAAAATGCCAAAAATGAAGAATTTGAATATTACCAATTGATATAAAAACTATTAGCATGTGAATTACCTTAATATATTTTTTTTGGAATTTTTATAATTATTTCTGATATTCTCTATTTTTGGGGATGATTCCACCCCCAATAGCGCTTAAGGGTGGATTTTCTAATTCAACATGCTTATTTCAGTCAAGAGAATAAATCTTTCTTTGTATCAAGAATCATTCGATAGAAAAATTCACATTCTAATAGTTTTTGTTTTTATATTTATTGGTAATATTCAATTCTTCATTTTGGGCATCTTTTCAACCCCTAAATAAGTGTGATTTTTGAAAATTTTCAAAAAACTAAAAGCTAGCTCATCTTAATTTTTTACGAGTAATTTGAGACCAAAAACATTTTTATCTATTTTCTTTAGTTCTCTGCGAATTGTGAAAAAACAGGCGATTTTGGCAATCAGGATTACGAATTGTAGGACAAGGAGACTCCGTTATATGTCTTACAGAGACCGAGTTTACAAAAAGAGATTGCAAATTTGAGGCTGAAAAAGAACTCGCGCATTTAACGATTAAAAATTTCCTAACAAAATCCTTGTGGCTTCTGATTTCAGCCTCAGTTTTCTTTCGTTTCATAATTTATCTTAAGAAACTTGCTTTGGATTTCCTGCGCATTAGTCAAATTTTCCTTTGGTGTCATTGTTCGGCAATCCAGTACTTCTAGTAGCATTCGCTATTGACGTCTGGATGCTGTGAATGAGTTTTGTCCTTTTTTAATTGCAACACCACAATGAATCTAAACAATTTTTTAGTGAATTTACACATGTTAAATTCCGAACTCTTAGAGAATTAAAAATAACTTTTACTAAAGGAGAGATTGCCTGTATAATCAGTACCCGATGGACTACAAAGCAATGGTTCAAAATGGGACAAAAATTGCAGTTCTTTAGAAATAACGGAAGGAATTACTTTAATGTTATAGTTCTCGACCAAATTGTTTGTTTCTAAAAATGGAATTATTTCCACCTAATCTGTGATTAATCTTATAAAATTTTTAATGTAAATTTTATATTGTCTGACATAATGTTATGTAATCTTGTTTTGTCAATTTTTATACTGACTGTTAAATCTAAAAATTTTTATTGTGTAGGAGTATTGTAACCGATAGCACTGATTTTTTTTATTAAACATTTTAACCACAGTTATTTTTTAATTTTTTTTATCATTTCCAGATAAGCTTGTCGCACTAGTTTTTCTAAAAAGTCAACGTTGCACCTTAGATCGAGGTTTCTAACCGCACAAAGCTTTTTGTTGGCACCGCTTTTTTGTATCCTTCCTTAACGAAAAACAAAATACCGTTAATCAAAAGTAAAAAAAGTATCCGGTGCAGTTTTTTGTTTTTTATTATTTCGTTGAGTTTACAACTTTTTAAGAATTCATTACTTTTGATCGAAGGTATGGGGAAGTGTGTCCTATCTCTTTCTCAATTCTTTTGTTTGTTTTTGTTGACAGCTTCGGACATTTTAACTGCGGTTAATAAATCCCTCAAAAAATCACTCAATGAATGTCATAGACGTAAGTAAATCAGAAACCTATGGTTATGTAATGTTTTTTTTTGCTGTGCCTAGCGAATTAAGAGAAAAACTAGTGCCTTGTTAGACTTTGCATTGCGATACGCTGCACAATATAAATTAATGTTGGTAAGAGTTTTGTTGCTTCAGGGAAAGTCGACACGTGGCGTTGTCATCAAGAATCGCCCGCCGGTCATTAAGCCGGCGCTAAAGAAGCCGCTCAAGCAGAGGGGCGCCTCCCTGCCGCTCGATCGCAAGGAGAACTTGGCTCAGCCAGGCTCGTCCAAGTCGGGCAGCCGCCTGAATAAGTGCTTCAAGGTGAAATCCCGTAAAGACCTGACGTTAAAGAGCAAGAACACTGCCGCCGAGAAAATCACAAAATCCACCATAACCAGAAATAAGAAGGTGAGCAACATAGTCACCACCCAGAAAGTGAGGTTAGATATAACCTCCAAACTGCAAACGATAAGGGAGGGCACCGATAAACCTAAAACCGACACCGACAGCATCCACCTGCGTGAGATCTGTTTCATAAAGAACAACGAGGGCAAGACGGTCATCGCCAAGTACCAGAATAAGGACAACGCTACATTCGACGATAACCTGGTGGTCTCCTGGAGCGCCGTTAATAGTAAACCGCAGATCTTCACGCAGAAAACTAGGATTGCCTCTGCACCTCCTTATCCTTGCGGTAAAGTGTTCATGTCGGAGCCGGGGACTAGCAAACAGTCCAATTTCCGCGTCCACAACTTTACCAAGAGCTCGTCGAAGACCAAGCTTAAGAAGCATCCGTTGAGGAGGCTGGCGAGCGCCACCGACGCTCTGGGCAAGATCGATAAATCGAAAAAGAAAAAGTTGAAGGCTAAGTAGTCCTTTGTTTATTGAGGGATGGGGTGGCTGAATCACAAATTTCTATGTAGGTCATGAATGTTGTATGTGTACGATGTCAAAATTGATTCCTTTATACCTGAAATAGTGGGGTTTATCTGTACTTTCTTCGTCATCGGAAACAAAGTGCAACTTCTTTAAATTTTACATGAGAAAAGGTTATATTTTTTCGATATTTAAAGAAATTTTTATTATTCGTGAAAACTTTATATTTATTCTTTTTGAAACACCATGTATATTTGAACTGTTTTCATTACATTTTTTAATTTAAATTGTTTTGTTTCATGGAGAGATATCAGGGAAAAACTTGAATTAATAAAGCCTGCGGATTTGGTTTATTACTCTTTTGCAGTAGTTAATAGAATTTATTTTTAGAAAAAAAAAAATTATATTTAACGTTATGATTTTTTCTGTTGCATGGAACTTTATACTGAAAAAATCGAAGCAAAATTTTGACATTGTAGCGAAAACTTTGTTGCTGCATTAATTTTCAAATGTAAAGGTGCTTTTTCGGGTTCAGCGGCCCCTGACTTCCATTTTAGTAGTGAATTTATTACAGGAAGTGATATTTTTGTGATTTCAGTACAAATACTTTTTTCCTTGTATGTATTGTTTGTACATACATTAAAACTGTATTTATATTGTTTTTTTATAAATGGAAAATTATTTATTGGAGCTTTATATTTTTATTTTATTCTACACAGTTTATATTTATGCATTATGTATTTTTCGGGGGTAGTATTTTTAGTACAAATTCTCCGATGAGTTGCAAGAAATAAAAAAAAAATACGATTTTTGTTTTTAAAGCATAAAATTTTTTTCAAGTTCCTCTCGCGTTGTAGCGGCGATTGAGAATAAAAAATTATTGGCATATCGTTATTAATTCGTTTGAAATTCGTGCAGTTATTGTTTTTTTTCTGGATGAGACAAATATAAATATTACTAAAAAAAATGTCTTTTCCCCAAACTTTATCAGTCATATCTATACAAAAACCACTTTTCTAAAAGCCTAAGTTTAATTCATTAACATATCTTTCGATTTTTCTACTTTTAGGTCATAATGTGCATAAAAAATCCTAAAAAAAAACTATTTTTACTGATAAAATAACAGACAAGTGTAGTGTTCAACTCAGGATTTTGATTTTGTTGCTCTTAACTACATGTTATCTGTGAAGCAAAAGGATTTTTTGGGTGGTTAAAAACGATTTTTTATTTTGTTTTTTATTTGGGCAGCATTTGTCGATACAAAAATTGAATAATAGCTAGAAAGAGGCTGTCGCTCATGGGAATTTACAAGAAAGGAATTGTGAATTCTCAAAACCGACCCACTTTTTTAATAATTCAGTTTTTTTTATATCCGAAATGTGATAGAAGCAAGAAAATTATTTTAGAAACATTTTTACTGCCCTGTATATTGCTATATTTTTTTGTATATCCGTACTTTGTTGAATGTATCAAAAGATACCGGCAAATATTATGTGGAGCGTTAATGTTTAAGACATCAGTTTTGTTTCCATAAACTACAGAAAATTTGTTGTTTGATGGTAATTTGAATGTAACGCCGAGTTTGTGGAAAGTATTTTAAATTGATCGTCTTAACTCAAATGCCCTATTTTTATGATTACGCAATGTAAAAGTGTGTTCAGTAGTTGTATCGAAATATTCGGTCTGAAGTACTAGCCTGTAAGGCCAATGTTCACCATTAGTTTACTATTAAAACTAAAAAGAAACAATTTTTATTAGTCTTTTTAGATTTTGTTTACTAAGAAGCTTTTTCTTCCAAAGTGATTACATCAGATGTGATTAGAAACTGGAAAACATCTTATTTGTTAAATGGGTATTGAATATTTTCAATATTTTGTAAAATGAAACAGAAAGTTAAAATAATTTTATCAAAATAATAAAATCATTGAAGAAAGTTTAAAATTTCAGTAAAATTATTTTTAGTACTCGATTTTAATAGTTATATATGATGTGATTACTTTGGTACTTTTTGATTCTATTTCGATTTGTTTTGTAATAATAATAAATGTTATGAAAGAAAAACTGGTCTCCTTAATTTTTCCATAACTCAAATTTCCAAACGTAAGTATAATTTTTCTCTTTTCAATTAAATTTCATAAAATAAAAAAAATCGTGGGCATATAATTCACATGGTTCAAAAATTTTTAAAAATCGTTCGTCGCTCGTAGTGAGGGCGCACGCCAGAGACGGTCGATAATTAATTCAATTTATATTTCGTTCCATGCACTTTTTTAAATATTTTTGTCATTGGATTTTCTGGAAGAAGTATCGTATAAAATATGGCGCTTTTGCTTGTGGCTAATCAATTTTTTTATGTTCATGTCCATAGCTTTGTTCCTAGAGTAATCCAAAACAGTTTTACTACAAGATAAAGAGAGAGATAGCTACTGTGGAAGTACTTGCTATCTCTCTCACTCGTCGAATCTAATTGGCATACCTGCCACGTGAGATGAGTCATAAGCCAATCACGTTCGCCGATAGAGGTAGCACGTACCTTCATAATAGCTATCTCTTCAACATGTAACGCGCCCGGCTATTGGTAGGCAGTAGACTACCTCTAATCGAATATGCTCGAAGATTAATTGTGGTACTTGGCCAATTTTGAATCTTTAAAGTATGGGGCATTACTGATACTGATTACAGACTTTTATTTAGTCAGATGTGCCAGTCGAGTGCGTAAAATACATGTTCTTATTACATATCTAAACTGACAGTGTCAAATAGGTCAAAAATTGTAATAATAATGTATTGTTTGTTTTGTCTTCAATTGTGTATGTTCACTTTCGTCGACAAAATAGTCAGTTGTCGCTAATTTGTGTTCGACAAATTGCTCGCAAAAACAACAAATCGTTGCTAAATTGTTGCACACGGTTGATGAATTGAAAAAAATACCGCATAACAATGCATAATCTTTGATAAAGCGCACCGTAGATGAGACTTATAAAACTCAAAAAATGTGTCCAAATTAGCCGTCAGTGGCTGAATAGTTTCAAATGCGAATATCATCACATTTGCTAAACCAATCTTATATCCAATATTCCTTCGTTTCTTTTTGTATTGTTTTGCAATTCTGTTAGCACTTTCTACATGAAACAAAATAAGTAGTCGGCACGGTCGCACGGTTTACTCTGCTTTTGCATTTCTAGAATTACAAAATTAAAAAAGGTATAAAAAGCCTATGAGGCCTATCTGTACAAACCATACCACACTGAGTAAAAAAGATGGAATTTATTGGAGATTAATCAGATTAATCTCCATATCGAGGATAGGGCCTATTTTTAAGAATTATATCATTTAATACGATATGGCCAAACTTCAAGGGGTGATTATTTGAGACGAAAATATTATATAAAAATAGGTCCGGCAATGCTTCGCTTTCAAGGTTGTCAAACATTTTTTAAATAATCGTTTTTTCGTAAAAATATGTTGTTAATAATCCTTCAGCAAACTTTGTTCAAATTTGGCAGTGATAGATATATGATAGAAAGGGGCTAAATTAGCCCTAACTAGATTAAAATTATTTAGGTCAGTGGTGTCCCTGCGACGGGCACGTTAACAAAGATTTTTGACAAAATAAATGTGCGCCACTGACTTTTTAAAAACTTTTATAATGTTTTTCGTATTAAGCAACTGAAAATACAACTTTTTGTTTCTCGAATGTTTTCGTATTCCTTTTTGTAGAAAAAAAAAATAATTTTATTGGATATGTCCCTGGGACAACATAATAATAAAAAATTAAAACTACCAAACTATCAAAAACTGCCGTGTACTTGTTATTTTTTTCCATATCAATATAGTCTATTATAGTGTTAGAAATTGTTATAAAAATTAATAATAGCCAAAAAAATTTTTGTTTTATTATTATTAAAATGTTTGTTGTCGATGGACACATGCATGCATGCAATAAAGTGATTTTCATTTTTATTTCCTTCAAAAGGAAGCAAGAAAAGAAAAAATTCAAGACAAAAAAGTTGGATTTTTAGTTTTAAAAGTCAGTGGCGCACATTTTTTTTATCAAAAATATTGGTTAAGGTGCGCTCGGGACGTCACTGGACTTAATAATTTTAATCTAGTTAGCGCCAAATTAGCCCTTTTCCACCATAAATAACACTACCAAATTTCAACAAAATCGTCTAAAGGATTATTAAGATTTTTAAGGAAAAACACTATTTTTTAAAAAAGTTTTACACCCTGTATTTTGAAAACGAAGCATTACCGGCCTATGTTTATATAAACTTTTCGTTTTAGAATCACTCAAAGAATCACCGCTTAAAGTTTGGACACGTACTTAAATAACACCCTGTATAATACAACAGTATGTATTGTGTCTATTTGATGGTAGTTTTATTTAGACTTTAGGCAACCAGTTATTGTCACTTGACACACCTGTTTGATTCACTCCCTACCTGCAAGTGCATTCGTTAATGCTTTGTGAAACTGGCTTTTGAAGTTCAGAAAAGTTTGTCCAGTTTTCACAAAGCCTTCCACAATTCTAGCCCTGGAAAAAGATTGAATTGTCGCTCGCGATAACCTCATAACGCAGGTGAGTAATTAATTTCAAATTTAATTGTTGGCCTCGTTAGCAAAGCTATGCAGTGGTAATTACTATTAATTAACATTGAATTCGAGCCGTATTTGGAAAGGCCCAGGTACCGAGTCGAGAGAAGATGTGATTCGGTTTTTCCTTTTATTTTCTCAGAATTTAGACACGGTAAATAATAATCATCAAAATCGGAGATACGCGGAGACTTGTACACGGTATTCTCTGCGTTTTTAGCAACCGTTTTTAAGTGCAGTTTGGGACACCTGTAAACAGTTGGGTAAATATTGTTTGAAAATAGTTGTATTTGCAATGTTTGTGCACACAAAGTATGTATTTACTCAAAAACTTACTGGATACAGTGGTGAAAAAAAGTTTGACCCTTGACTTTCTTTAAAATATAATGCCACGGATTATTTGGACTTGTTTCATAATATATTCATTGCAAAAGAAGTTGGTTTTCCATATATGTATATTATATGTCGAATATTAACATTTTATCTTTACACGAGATTAATTTTAATGTGGCGATGCTTATTTTATGTGTGTGAAGTTTATGGCACATACAAATTATTTAAAACTAAAGATTAAAATAAAGCCAAGGCCAAGTAATAAGTATAATTATTAATAGCTACTACCATGAAAATCGTGATTTAAATACAATTCGATCAATTTGTGTTAACAAGAACTGAAAGAAATAAATACCTATATGAATTTTAATTATTTGGCATTTTAATCATTAATTCAAAGCTGGAATATAATTTTTCAAATGCAAATTATATATTTTTTTAAATTTCAAATTTGCTCCCTTTCCATAAACCTGCAACAAAATAAAAATGACAAAGTGACAATTATTTTGGGGCACAAAGTATACAGCGTATAGAGTGAAATCTCTAGTAGGTACTGAGTTTGTTTAAAAGTTTTAGCGCTTCTGGTGGGTGGACTATAATATTATTTTTTTTGAGCGATATGAGCTCTTCATATTACGGATTTTTTATTTTTAGAATGCTGATTACTTAATTGATATCAATAACATAAATGTTGTGCAGATTATAATAATCTTGGCATAAATAAATGTAAATACAAAATTATTTTTAAACAAGAACTTATATATACGTATTAGTAATAAAATAAAATATTGTGGCAGTCGCCCCGTTTTTAACTGAAATGTGAAGAAATTCTAGAGTTCTATCTAGAAAATTCTACTCTGTATGACCTACTTCCTCAACACTAAACTGCACTGAATAATGTGAATCGATATTTTAATATTAAATAGATCTGTCAGAAACGCTGAAAATAACAGTTAAATTCATAATTAAAACATTGCTAAGCTACATTTGGAAAAAATACTATAACAGTGCCATACGACGGGTGGACTTGTCTTGTCTGCACAATTTCTATATTTTATAGCAATCCGGTCACCGTGCTATATAGTTTATGCTTTGTGAAATGAAATTTCTTGTCATGATATTTTTTTCCCTTTCTTTAAGAGACCAGAACTTAAAATTATTTTTACAGAAAAATGTTTGTTACCCATTTCCAAATTCAAATGATTCTAGCTTTCTTGATCGATTTAGAACGGGAACAAAATTTTATTGTAATTAGACAATAATTAAATAACAACTAAAATAAGGTTACTTATTTAATTATTTTGAATATATTTTAAAAAATCATTTTTGGAAATTTGAACTTTTAGACTGACTGCTATCTATAATTTGACTTTCGGTCAAATAAGACTTATGCAGTTCAAGACGCCATGTAATTTTTAGTATGGCACGAGTTTAGCACATCAACTTGACATGTTATGTGCTTTTATTAGTAGTTTTATAAGTGTAAATTTCTAAAATGTTCTGAAATATTTAATATTCCTTTTGCATTTTCAGCATGAAGCTGTGTATATCGCTGTTCCTGCTGCCGCTCCTGCAAATCGAAGCCAGGGTGAACAAATGCGGACCAAGCTTCTCCGAAGCCTGTTTCTGCGGGCATCAGTTCTATGAGGGTGCGACTATGGTCGTAGTGAATTGCACGGGACAGGGTTTTACAGATGCAACAATGTTACGATATCTCCCAGAAGATGTAGAAATGTTAATCTTCACAGGAAACCACATAACATCATTGCCCCTCAACATTTTCGGGGAGGATATGGATTTAAGCATGCTGAAAATTATCGACATGAGTAACAACGGTATCACGGACATCAAGGGGAGAACCTTCCATCACGTCGCAAACGTGGAACGACTGATTCTGAACCATAACAATATTTCAATTTCGGAGGACGATAAGAATCTTCACCCCCGTGTATTTTCTAATTTTTATAACTTGGAAGAGCTTCACTTGACAAACGCTTTTGCTGATAACACAGACGCGGCTCTGGCCAAGGATTTACACGACATATTCGTCAATAGCAATTTAACGAAACTCGTAAAATTGCATCTGGAACAAAACGAGATTAAGAACTTCAAAGACGATAGAGTGTTTTGTGACCTACCGAACCTACAACACTTGTACCTGGGTGACAACTACATTCCGTGCCTTAACTTTAACGTTACCTGTTTGCCGAAACTGACATATCTCGATTTGGAAGGAAACAATATTACGAGTTTTTCAGACAGCGACTTAGACAAGTTCGACAGGTTGATCGTGCCCTCGCGCTCCGAGAACTTAGTTATCGATATAGACGATAACCCTTTCCGATGCGACTCTGCGATTCAAAATTTGTACAACTGGTTGCATAAAACGAAAGTTAAAGTGCGCAATTTAGAGCGTCTCGAGTGTCATCAAGCAAAATACGGCAGGAAATATATAATGAACTTGAAAAACTTGACAGAAACGAAGCACGCAAAGGTATCGCAGGCTTTGACAGTGCTCTTAGTGATCTTGGTTGTAGTTTTAATTACTCTTCTGAGTGCCTACATTTACTTGAAGAAGGAGAGTGTTAAGGAAAGACTGTCGCCCATTTTCGATGCCGTTTCGAGGAAGGTGCAATATACAACAATCGAATCGCAAGATGTTTAAATCCGAAGAGAACTATTAGCGAATTACATGTAATAACGGCTGATGCAACTAATTATTAAATTCCCGCTTGATTTAATGAATAAATAATTTAATTAATTGCACTTGTTGAAATTAATCGTAAACGATTAAGACAACGGACTAGAACTGATTTTTTTGAGATTTTTTTATATCTATTAAAAACAATTAAATTTTTATTTAATCGCAATATATGGTGCTTATTTTTGTAAATAGAATTTAAATTTGTAATTGTAAATAATTTTTGTACAGAACGAATATTTTAGATTAACTAGTTCCTAATGTATTTTTTTATATAAATTGTTGAATACACTTTTATATGATGTTTTATTTTATTTCTCCGAATATTTCAAATATCCTTAATTTATCCTACTATTTTTCAATGGGAACTCGACAACAGTAAGTATGTAATTAATACATATCAAGTTTAACTGAAATCTAGAACTGTAATTTAATATTTATGCATTTGAAAATTTCTAGTGCGCAAGCTAATGAACTACTCAAAGTTTTAAATGTCCCGCCAAAACAGCATTCTACTTTAAATGACCAAGAAACGCTAGATGGAGCAACAAAAGAGGGCGATGGCGATGTGTTTACGTTTGTGCAAGTTATGATAAAAATATAGCAATAAAGTTAGTCGCCTGCCCTTCCAAATTTCACAAAATCGTAAGTACAATCGACAAATAAGGCTATTATTGGAAGAAAATCGATGAAAATGGCTACTGTATGTACTCACTTCCGCCTATGACAGGAACAGGAAACCATCTCCTTGCATTCCAAGATGGTGATTTTCCTGTCGCTAAATATTTGAAAAACAAAACACTATTAATTATAACCAAACTTTCCGGATTTTTAAATTTGTAAAATGAAAATTTACGGGTTTATTTTTACCGTTTCAGATAATGATAAAGTTCGGCGGTCTCATAGACGATTCAAAAAAAAAACACGGCACAAAGTACATTTTATCAGCAGCGCCAGATAACACAGTTGCTCTAGATGGAGCAGAATTGATCCCAGTACGTAAAAAATGTTATAAAGGAATTTTTATAACTAAATAAATTATACATTTTAGATCGATTTAGGTGGTAGATTAGTAACACATCCAACTATTTCTATAAACGAACTAGGCAAACAGTTATTGAAAGCTGCTGCCGATGGAGATGTTGATGAGATTAAAGCTCTGTTTACTAAGGGGGCGCCTTTTACTGCCGACTGGGTAAAATCAAGTTTAAAATGAAATAAAATAAGTAAATCAAAACTTTTTAGCTTGGAACTAGTCCATTGCATCTAGCAGCTCAGAATAATCACTTGGAAATAACAGAAATATTGTTGAGGGCTGGTATATCGAAAGATGCAAGGACCAAGGTTGATAGGACTCCGTTACATATGGCCGCATATGAGGGCCACTTACAAATCGTCGATACCTTGGTTAAACATGGTGCTGACATAGATTGTAGGGATTTAGTAAGTCTTCAGATGGTTGTTTTTTAACTCTTAAATGTTTGCTTTATAATTCAGCTCGGAATGACACCTTTGCATTGGGCTGTGCAGAATGGACATTTTCAAGTGGTGGAATATTTGATAAGTAACGGTGCGCAGCTAGACATCCAGAACAAATTTAACCTCACTCCTTTGACGATTGCACAGCAGATTGAGAGGTCGGATATAGAAGACTACATAAGTAACAGTATGGCAGATTCGTCGGTGGCGGCACAGAATTTAGTTATACAGTTGGCTGCTGAGGACGCAGCTGAGAATAACAGTGAAAGTCAGGGTTTCTCGGAGGATATGGAGTTGGAGAACAGTAATCACGAATCTATAATCATTCCTATAGGTAAATTGGATCGATTTATAAGGATCGGAGAACTTGAGTTGTTATCTACGGTTTCAATTTTTTTTTAGAACCTAGTATGATGTCTCAGTTTGAGCCTGAGAGCTCTGAAATAGAAGAAGACTTGAGTCAAACAGGCAACGGTAAGTTTTCTTTGCAATTCATTTTTTAGTCAAAATTTTAGTATTACAATTTTTTTGAAAAAATCAAAATGACAATCTTTTTATGGTCTTTTAATTTCTTATTTAAGTCTCTCATTCTTTATATAATTTAGTTTATTGATTTCTAATTATAATTTGGTAATTTATTAAATAATTTGAATTATTTAGCTTCAAAACTGCTGAAGTTTATTTTTAATGTATTATTATTATTTTTTATTAATTATACATTACAGTGTGGACAAAATATTCTCATCATTTGGTGTGTTGAAAAATTAGGGATAAATATTAGGAACTGGAAAAGAGACTAAATCGTGTGTTTTTTAGTACTACAATGGATTATAATTAAATTTTTGAGTATATATAAAAATAACTGAAAAATAATGGCCGTAATTTCAGGAAATATGATATAGTTGTTGCTATTTTCCTTCTTTTATTTTTATAGAATGCACAATTTTGAAAGATTATGGTCTTTATTTGAAGAATTAACTTTTCTGTTTTAATGATATTGTTTCAAGTGTGGGTGAGATATAACCTAAAAAGTTTATGTCATGTTATAAATGTTATTACTACCCATACCCATACTCAACATATAGTAAGTAAATATATATCCAAAAAGTTAAATTGTTTGTCAGCGATCTCACTTATGTTGATGAGAACTATTAATTTAGTATAGTCGTTGCAATATCAGTTGGAACCGCATAAAAATATTTAACTCATATACTCTACGGAATCCATAGGCGTCCAGGAAAATTTTGTTCTGTCTCGTCGAGAAATACTATATTCCGAGTTATATTCCTATTTAGTTGTCGATATTCTCGAATTTTTTGTAAATAATCTTCCCGAAGTGCAACTATACATCGTGATTCCATAATTACCATACGATTGTCAAGTTTTTTATGTTTAAAACCGCATTGTAATAAAACATGTCGTAAAGTATCTAAATATTTATAATTATAATCGGGATAATCGCTTCATTTATCTCGAATCATGTTTAACGTAGGAACTTTATTTTCTTTATACATATAAATTGTGGGCCGTATTACATCTCTGGTAAAATCGACAATATTCTTTAATTTTGTATTTTTCCGCTTCTTCTTTGATTTCCTTGGTTAATAACGTCTCCTTCTTTAATTACGCGATACATTGTCGTTTTTGATATCTTGGTTAATTCGCTAATCCGTTTCCTAATTTCTTTATCACATTGTTGACTATTTTCTCTTTTCAAACATTCATATATATTTAAATTAATACGTTGACTTGGTACGTGTAAATCTTTGTTTTTAAACTCTGAGTTTGTTTCGACGCTTTGAACAAAAACCGGCTTGACTATTTGGGGATTTTCTCGGGTTATTTCATTATCTTCCGTTTCAAAGGGTCCCCAGAAATCCATGCTAAATTACTAGATAATTACATATAATATTTATTTTAAGAACTACTGGTTACGATATGAACAAATAATACGTATTATACCAACAATAAATATACCACGCCAAGCACCGCTCTCCACGGTACTGACAAACCCAAGTGAACCGCATTCGACACCAAACTAATTATAGAATACCATGCAAAAAATATTTATGACCAAGTGGACCAATACAGGTTTGTTTTGACAACCAGCGCGCCGCCGTCAATTCTACATTAGGCGGGCTGGTCTACCACTACCGGACCCGTCCAATGACTATTCAAGTATAAATTACGAGACACATCATGGCTAAAGCATAGGAAGAAATTTCAAGAGAAGTGCAGACGGTCCTGTGCTTTAAGATTCACAGGTTCCAATTGATATCGTAACAACTATACTATTCTATGTCTGCTTTGCTATTTACTAGATATTGAGGGTGTAATCCAATAATGAACGAGTTTGTAGCCTGCAGAGAATAAATTTTTCACAGTAGCATTCGTTAAACAGGAAAACCGGGAATACCGGGAAAAATTAGGGAATTTTAAAAGTATTCATGAAAGTCGGAGAATTTGACGTTTGCTGTTGGAAATTTTGTGAAAGCAAGCCTTGGGTACTTGAAAGAGAAAACTATATATTTGTGGTTTTGAAACCTTTATAAGAGGTTCTTTAGTCAGGGAATTCTGTATTACATTTGAACTACGAACCCTGTTAAAAGAATATAGTTTAATTTTTGAGATATTTTTAATTAAATATTGATTTTTTTAAATCGGATATATTTTTCAAATGATATAAATTGTCTTAACTTCTGTTTAGAGGAATATTTTTCGGAACAAGACCAAGAATCTATAGAGAGAGAAAACGAACAGTTGGTTGAAAACGTCAATATGGATACCACAAATTTCTCCGATTCATTGAAACTGCTCCAAGAACACGGTATTACCATGTTGCAAACTGATGAGAACGAAGACGGGAACATTTTAAATTCTGTGATGGAAAGCGGGCATTCGGTAGTTCTAACAGGTAAATCAAACTAATATATGGAGCGTCCCTGAGTAGGTGTTACCAAACTTTAAGATGGAACTTGTTCAGAATAGTAAACTGTTTTAATGAGTTCCACTTATTGTTATTCTGAGACATTCTGAATAAATTCTGCATCTAACGATTTTAGACATTGGAAAAGAAGTTCTGAATTCCGTCAAGCAGTCTGAGCAGCAGCAGCTGCAGATGGAGAAGAAGATCGTGCAAGTGACACCCGAGGAATTTTTAGCCATGGCCAACGGTTCTCTGAACAACAATAAGAACTTGTTCAGGCAGTTGAAAGTGCTGCCCGTCAAGAGCCAGGTCAAACGGATAGTCATGAAGAAGAACAAGGTCATTCCCGTTACGAGTGTTACAAGTGTAAGTAACGTTCCTCCCATTCTGACAATTTTTTTTTATGACTTATTTTCCAGATTCGTACTGAACCGAGGTCTCCGACTCTACCGGCTGGCATGATACCGTCCCGCACGGATATGGAGTTGGTGATGACTCAGCTGATAGAAGCCAGGAAGACGATAGAGGAGTACAAGATCAAATTGCACAAGAAGGAGCAGGAGGCGGAGCGTTACAAGATGCAATTGAAGCTGTTGATGGATCCCAGTTAATCGCCGTTCGCTTACAGTTGAGGCGTTGCCACATCTCAGGTACCTCCCCGGACAACGGCTCAATGCCGGTCGTCTTGTAAATAGGGTTAACATGCAGTTAGTTGTTGAATTTGAGTATTAATAATTTGTACGAGTATGCTTGGAATTGTTTGTTATAATGACGGTTATTTATTTTTTTATAATTTTAGATTTTTGTACATACGAGAAATTGACTGAAAATAAATATCTTTTTTAATTTTTTTAAATTTTTCTGTGCCGCTATAAGAAATATGTATCCCTCATTTTTTTTTAAATTTTGCAGGGTGTTTTTGAAAGTGGGGTCTGCATTATTTGATATTCGTTATGTTTATTATAGATTATTTATTTCATTCATTATTATTCTTCCCATAATCCCTCCCAAAAAGTGGCATTTTGCCGTCATGAAGGCTTCTTTCATGTACCGCGAATTCATCTTATTAGACCGATTGAAATAACTCATTTAAAGGGAAAAAAAAATAAATTTGTTACCTGGACTTTTATAAGTGGAAATGGTAAAGGGGCTCATAAAGAGAACAAAATAAATAAATAAATGTGTGAGCAGGGGTGGCAGAGGGTTGATTTGGAGGTTGAAAAATTGTGGAAAATTGCGATTTCTGGTGAAAGTTGACGTCAAACAAAAAAGTTTCCAATACAAAAGTTGTAGATCATGCAAAAATCTACAACATTTGTAGAGGTCACTTTTTAAGATAACCTCAAAATTTCGGAGAAAAATGCGAAAAACAGGTTTTCTCTGATTTTTTGTTTTCTATTTCTCATTTCCGAAAAAATAATTTAATTTTGACGAAACTTGGTGAAAGTATACCTTCCTGTGTCTTAAATAACCACAAATTTTTTTAGATAAAAAAATCAAGAAGTTTACGAGATATTCATTTTTTCCGATTTAAAACACTTTTTTCAAAGAAAAATTCTACTGAGAAAAAATCATCGTACAGAGTTCGGCTGGTGATCATTTTTTTCATTTTGACATACTTTTTGGTGAAATAAAAAAATCTAATCACAGTTCAAAAATATGCTCAAAAATGCAAAAAAAATAAAAAATGATTTGAAACAATGAATTTTTCAGTGTGTTGATAATTTGTTCAAATTTAAAAAAAATTGAAAAACTGATTACACCCTTCAATTTTACGGAAAAAAATACAAAAAAACTGTCTCATCGTTTGACCCATTTGTCGATTTTGTGGGTATTTTGATGTTAGAAAATTCTGGTGTTTGCTGGGACAATTCTGACAGCAAAATGAAATTCAGCACCCCAAAATAAATGGAAATAATGTGTTCTGGTCATTCAGGACTTTCTTTTATTTTGTGGAGCTGGGTTATTGGCAAACACCCATGAACGAACTGTTGTGGTCTTTGTAAACGTTCACTTATGAATCCAAAGGATAGCGGTTGGAACTGCGGACTGGTCAAAATTTTTTTTAAATGTTTATATTTCCATAAAAACTATTTTACCGAAAAGAAACAATTTTTTTATATTGTACTAAATGAATATGCAGTGTGGAACAGCGAAATGGAATAAATTCTGTATCTTAATTATTGTACATGGTTTTCATATCTATTGCCAAAAATTAATAGTCTAATTTGAATTTGATATTGACATTAAAATTTTTTCAAAACTAGTCGGAATATACATACATACATAAACCATTTTTTCCTTCTTTACAGGAAATTTGAGAAATACTTTAAGGGGTTACAACCACTGTTGAATTTTCAAAAAATCGTTTTTTTTTTTGCTTAAAAGGTGGTTTGAACCTTCTAGAATGACGCAAATTGTTTTATACATGAAAAATTTTTTTTTTTAATTTTTCGTTTTTACTGAAGCGTGTCGGGCGTCTCTCGTACGGCTACCTGCGCTATGAACATACTCGCTCGAAAGGTACCGCGTACCTTCTTACCTATTGATTTATAACTTCTCTAATACACTCATAGATGTCGCTAGGGAGTATGCGTGTACAATTCAAGCAAAATTTTCAAACAAAAGTACGTCAGTGCACGTTCATGTATAAAACTCATTTTTAAACTTTAAACACGTTCTTCTCAAAACAAACTTTTTGAAAACGGCACGCACCATAACTCCAACAATTTTCAATATTTTCTTTTGAAATTTTAACCACATATTTAAAACTGTTGTCATATTATTTAGCGTTATGCGCTGGTTCAGTATAAGAAAAAAAAAAAAGTAAATGGACTGTTTGAAAAAATGAAAATTGAATTGAATCGGCACTTACCAATTTGGTGTAGTTGTTCTTTGATGATTTCCGGGTTTTCACAGTCACTGGATATGTATGCGTTTGTTAGCGAAATTTCGAATTAGCGAGCACTCTTTTGCACCTACGATACGTGTCTTCTGTTTTCTATCACTTGTCGCTTCCTTTTCTTCTAGCCGCTCGCGTACGCAGAATCGTGCCGATTCAAGACGTTTTTTTATGAATAAAATTTAAATTTACGAAGTAACAAAAATAAGCTTGATGCTAATTAAATATAAAAATAAAAAAAAGAAAAGAGAAAAAAGAAACAATTATAAATTTAATTGATAAACAAAAACGACATTTTGAAGAGAAACACGTACGGATTTTTCGTTAAGTTAATTTAAACATTTGTTGTAAACAAATAACTGCCCTTTTTTTCGTTTCTTATGTAGATTAAGAGCAATTTTTTTTTGTTCCACCATGAAATTTGCACTAGTTCTAGTGCGTGCCGTAGAACGCCTCGACGGCAGTATGCTTCAGGAGAATGGCTCCGGTGCCATTTCGAAATATTTTAAAAAAAAATTTCTGTGCATGCCCAATACCATACTTAAACAGTTTTTTCTATTACCTTTCCTTCTATTAAAAAAAAATTATCAAAAACACGCTTTCCTTAGGCCGTTACAATGGTGTAACCCCTCAAGAGGGCTCTATAGCAAATAGGCAACCAGTAATGCATTTTTATAGATTTTATTACAGTTTGTCTAAATATGAATTAATGCATAAATAACAGACTTTTCCCCATTTTAACGCAGAATTTGACAAGCAGCATCGTAAATTACAAATTTCTTTACACCAAGAAGTAATTTGAGTTTCAAACTAAGTTAATTTTATAGAAAATCTGCGTTAGAATGGAGGAAAGTCTGTTATTTGTGCATTGATTCATATTTAGACAAACTGTTTAAGAAAATCTATAAAAATGCATTGCTGGTTGCCTATTTGCTATAGAGTCCGCTTAAGTGTTAATTTTGTCTCACCCTGTACACATTTAACAATTTAATTCTTATAAAACAGGTCTTTATTCGCAGTTCGACTCTTGACTACCGTTTTTAGTACAAACCTTACTAAGTCAATTCAATGAAGTAGTTTATTTATTAAAAAAATAATCATAAAACACAACTTANTCATTTCCGAAAAAATAATTTAATTTTGACGAAACTTGGTGAAAGTATACCTTTCTGTGTCTTAAATAACCACAATTTTTTTTAGTTAAAAAAATCAAGAAGTTTACGAGATATTCATTTTTTCCGATTTAAAACACTTTTTTCAAAGAAAAATTCTACTTAGAAAAAATCATCGTACAGAGTTTGGCTGGTGATAATTTTTTTCTTTTTGACATACTTTTTCGTGAAATAAAAAAATCTAATCACAGTTAAAAAATATGCTCAAAAATGCAAAAAAAATAAAAAATGATTTGAAACAATGAATTTTTCAGTTTGTTGATAATTTGTTCAAATTTAAAAAAAATTGAAAAACTGATTACACCGTTCAATTTTACGGAAAAAAATACAAAAAACTGTCTCATCGTTTGACCCATTTGGCGATTTTGTGGGTATTTTGATGTTAGAAAATTCTGGTGATTTGCTGGGACAATTCTGACTGCGAAATGAAATTCAGCACCTCAAAATAAATAGAAATAATGTGTTCTGGTCATTTGCACAGGACTTTTTTTTATTTTGTGGAGCTGTGTTATTGGCAAACACCCATGAAGGAACTGTTGTGGTCTTTGTAAACGTTCACTTATGAATCCAAAGGATAGCGGTTCGAACTGCGGACTGGGCAACATTTTTTTTAAATGTTTATATTTCCATAAAAACTATTTTACCGAAAAGAAACAATAATTTTTTTATATTGTACTAAATATACAGTGTGGAACAGCGAAATGGAATAAATTCTGTATCAATTATTGTACATGGTTTTCATATTTATTACAAAAATTAACAGTCTAATAATTTGAATTTGATATCGACATTAAAATTTTCTCAAAAATATAATCGGAATATACATAACCATTTTTTCCTTTACAGGAAATTGGAGAAACCCTTTAAGGGGTTACAACCACTGTAGAATTTTCAAAAATTCCTTTTTTTTTTCTTAAAATGTAGTTTGAACCTTCTAGAATATGAGGGCAAAATGTTTTATACATGAAAAACATTTTATTTTTAATTTTGCGTGAAGCGTGTCGGGCGTCTCTCGTACGGCTACCTGCGCTATGAACATACTCGCTCGGAAGGTACCGCATACCTTCTTACCTATTGATTTATAACTTCTCTAATACACTCATAGATGTCGCTAGGGAGTATGCGTGTACAATTCAAACAAAAATACGTCTGCACGTTCATGTATAAAATTCATTTTTGAACTTTAAACGCGTTTTTCTTGAACAAACTTTTTTAAAACGACACACCATAACTCCAACAATTTTTAATATTTTCTTTTGAAATTTTAACCACATATTTAAAACTGTTGTCATATTATTTAGCGTTATGCGCTGGTTCAGTATAAGAAAAAAAAAAAAGTAAATGGACTGTTTGAAAAAATGAAAATTGAATTGAATCGGCACTTACCAATTTGGTGTAGTTGTTCTTTGATGATTTCCGGGTTTTCACAGTCACTGGATATGTATGCGTTTGTTAGCGAAATTTCGAATTAGCGAGCACTCTTTTGCACCTACGATACGTGTCTTCTGTTTTCTATCACTTGTCGCTTCCTTTTCTTCTAGCCGCTCGCGTACGCAGAATCGTGCCGATTCAAGACGTTTTTTTATGAATAAAATTTAAATTTACGAAGTAACAAAAATAAGCTTGATGCTAATTAAATATAAAAATAAAAAAAAGAAAAGAGAAAAAAGAAACAATTATAAATTTAATTGATAAACAAAAACGACATTTTGAAGAGAAACACGTACGGATTTTTCGTTAAGTTAATTTAAACATTTGTTGTAAACAAATAACTGCCCTTTTTTTCGTTTCTTATGTAGATTAAGAGCAATTTTTTTTTGTTCCACCATGAAATTTGCACTAGTTCTAGTGCGTGCCGTAGAACGCCTCGACGGCAGTATGCTTCAGGAGAATGGCTCCGGTGCCATTTCGAAATATTTTAAAAAAAAATTTCTGTGCATGCCCAATACCATACTTAAACAGTTTTTTCTATTACCTTTCCTTCTATTAAAAAAAAATTATCAAAAACACGCTTTCCTTAGGCCGTTACAATGGTGTAACCCCTCAAGAGGGCTCTATAGCAAATAGGCAACCAGTAATGCATTTTTATAGATTTTATTACAGTTTGTCTAAATATGAATTAATGCATAAATAACAGACTTTTCCCCATTTTAACGCAGAATTTGACAAGCAGCATCGTAAATTACAAATTTCTTTACACCAAGAAGTAATTTGAGTTTCAAACTAAGTTAATTTTATAGAAAATCTGCGTTAGAATGGAGGAAAGTCTGTTATTTGTGCATTGATTCATATTTAGACAAACTGTTTAAGAAAATCTATAAAAATGCATTGCTGGTTGCCTATTTGCTATAGAGTCCGCTTAAGTGTTAATTTTGTCTCACCCTGTACACATTTAACAATTTAATTCTTATAAAACAGGTCTTTATTCGCATTTCGACTCTTGACTACCGTTTTTAGTACAAACCTTACTAAGTCAATTCAATGAAGTAGTTTATTTATTAAAAAATAATAATAAAACACAACTTAAGGATAATTGTAATAAATTGTACAATATTGTTAAAGTTAGTATAGGAATACAAATATCGAGTATTTTTTTATACGATCATTTAAAGTATTTAAAAAATAGCTGACAAATAGGAATAAAACGAATTAACAGCCATGCATTTATAGGTGCCAAAATAATTGGTTACATGTATAACGATTATTAAAATTGTTACCATCTACTGAATATTTTAACATAAAATTTATTTTGTACTCTAAAAATTACATTAAAAAATTTTAATTAATTACATACTATAAAAAAATAACTACGAAATATAAAAAAAATGAAATATCGTCTTAAATTTGGCAATAAATAATGTTAAGTAGCAGGTAACCCAACAAAATATCAATAATCACTTTATACGATCACCCTGTATAAGTTAAATCGAGTCGTAAGCATATACATACTTCCAAGCAGTTATTTAAAAATACGCTAAAAAGAACACAGTAGACTAGTCGATATAAAAAAATATAAAAAATATAAATAATGTTTGACCTACGTTTGGGCAGGGCGTGGTACAAAACCTACAGTAAAATTTTTAAAATGTAACAACCTGTAACAACAACAAGAGAGAAGGGAGAAAAAGACCAACAATCTTTACTTTATGACGTGCAGCGGCACCGTCGAGTTTCGGGAAGCCACCCGTTGCAACACCTCATTACCCAGCTCCTTGGAGGTCTCGTGCCACACGCACTTCCCTATAATGGGCACTTCCTCCAACGGATTCCTGAACGCCACCAATAGCGTCAGGCACATGCCGTCTTTGCCCGTGGACGGATCATGTTCCACCTAAAGAAAGACGCTCTTTAACCAACGTGATGTATCATTCTCGAAATTAGAATACGACAAAAATATGATTTCCATATTTCTGCATAGAATTTCAGAAACAATAAATTGATCAAATCAAAATTTGCGCCTAAATAAGGGTAATAAGGGTTATTAAGGTCTCTAGATCGATAAAGATAAGTTTGTTAGTGGGTGAGTATAACCTATAAAGTATGTCATACTTAATTAATAACCCCCTCACTTACCGACAAGAGCCCGTGTGGCCTGTGGGTGGGCACCTCGGCTCCAAACAGGTCGATCATGAACTTCCGCAACGTGGAATGTATGCTCTTGGACGGATGCACCTCACACGTGGGTAGATGCCAAGTGGTGCGTTCGCTCAATAAAACGTGCACCCTGTTGTTGGCTTTTTTCTTAATCACAACTACGAGTCGTAGGAATATCTTCGAGTAGGGCCTGAGGGCCGGCAGCTGGTCCAGGAACCAACCCGGATCTCGGGTCCTCCGGGCCTCTTTGTAAGCTCTGTAAAGAGGTTTATTGACTATTTCTGTATAAGGAATACATATTGTCTTATAAGTAAATAGTAACAGGTGTTACTGAAAAAATATATACAAAAATGACCACGAGTAAGAAAAAATTAAAAACCGAAAAAAAGAAATTTTCAAATTATACAGGGTGTCCCACCGAGAACTCCATCGATCGATATCTAGGAAAGTACTGCTCCGAAAAATTTGAAAAGTTGGCAACATGGGGCGAAGACAACTAAAATATCTAGAACTCTCCAGCACTTTTGGTTATACCGGAAGTCGACACCAACTTCGTTATTTTAAATTGGTCCCTCTATATATTATTACATTTTCGGATTCTACGTGAAATTTGAGGATCACTTTATTAAATATTTCCTAGACTTAGGAGCTATACAATTTGCGATATTAATATTTAAAGAAAAATTTTGACAGATGCAAGGGTCCGTGGAGATACTAGTAACTCTTTTCAGGAGCATAATATCAAGTGGATTTTTGCTATCTGTATAGGGCATAGGTAACACTAAATCATAGTATACCAACAAATTAAAACACATTTAATACTAGGTCTTTCATTTTTGCTGTTACATTTTGAAAATTTCAAACAGCTATAACTTTGTCAACTTAAATGGAACACCCTGTATTTTTTTACTCTGTCGTATGCAGATTGAAATTTCCTTTCAAGCCATATAAGCATTATTAGGGTTGCCACTACTATCTTTAGAGCTATTTGCAATTTTCTATTTTTTGGACAGTTTTTCTTGTATCAGACCTGTTGGCAAATTGGCCATGACCAAAAACACTCCAAACCAATTAAAATAACTTGACATTTGTCAAGTTAGTTGTCAAATTATTGTTATGCCTGTAATAGTTTTTGCTGAAAGTTTAAATAAAAATACCTGGGGATTTAAATTATACTTATGATTATTTCAATTAGTTTGTTATTTATGTAAAAAAGCAGCAGATTCTCTACCTACATGTTCTTAAAAATACTTTGTCACATTTTCCATAAATAACAAACAAATTAAAATAATCCTCATTAGAACAATTTAAACGATCCCCAGGCATTTTTATTTAAATTTTCTACAAAAACTTTTCAGATACAACAATTTGACAACTAACTTCACAAATGTCATGTTATTTCAATTGTTTTTGGAGTGTTTCTGGTCATGGCCAATTTGACAACAGGTCTGATACGAGAAAAACTGTCAAAATAATAGAAAATTGCAAATATCTCTAAAAGTAGTAATGGCAACCCTAACAATGATAATATGGCTTGAAAGGAAATTTCAATTTGCATACGACAGAGTAAAAAAATATATAATATGCTCCATTTAAGTTAACAAAGTTATAGCTGTTTGAAGTTATCAAAATGTAACAGCAAGAATGAAACACCTTAGTATTAAATGTTTTAATTTGTTGGTATAGATTCCTAGATATCGATCGACGCAGTTCCTGGTGGGACACTGTATATACAAAAAAAAATAACTATGAGTAAAGAAAAACTAAAGACCGAAAAAAAGAAGAAATTTACAAATTATATAAATAATCTAAATAGTTACAGAAAAGTACTTAAAAATAGTTTAAACAAAATTAGGAAAAATATTTTTGCAGTCTTAAAGTACCTACATAAAAAAATAAATAAAATTTTTTGAAAACAAAATAAATATTTATAAACTAATTTTAAATCACACTCCAGATTTTTGTTTATAGACTGATGGTATGAGCAAGACTTCTTTATACAAATAAAAATTTTGTTAATCAGAAAAAAGTTGTTGGATGTCAAAAAAAACTAACAAAATGTTTTCAAATTTATTTCCATGCTCCACGAACAAATTAAAAATGTGACTTTTACCAACCAATTCATTTTAAACAACATAATTTTTCCGATTTCACAACAAAGTAGGCTGGTTTTACCATTTTTTTCATTTTGATAAAAAACGGTTTTCATTTCCTGAACGCTGTGTACATACAAACTGAAAATTTTCCATGGCAATCACATTTTAAAAACATGCAAAATCTTTTATCAAAAAAATTTTTTTTTCCATAAAATAAAAAATAAAAATGTTTTCCCTCGTCCACTTCAACTCGCAATAAACTATATACAAGGTGTTACATAATGACGTGCAAATATTTTAAGGAGGTGTTTAGAAAGTAATTTTAGGGGGGTACTTCCTATATATTTTTTTTGATTTGAACCTTCCTGAGAAAATATTCAAATCTCAAAATGGCCAAAAAAAATTAACTTTTATTTTTTTTTTTTCACGAAAATGGTTAAATTTAGAAATTTGAATTTTGGTACACGTTAACAACTAGTTGAATGGTATTTTTTGGTAGTTTGTTTTTCTGGTTTATGTATTTGAAAGAAATAAATTAACATCCCTTGGTTTTATTTCTCTCACAACTTTTTTCTACGTTAGCCATTTCCAACATGAAAAATAGCTTTTAATATCACATTTCATTTAGAAACTTTTTTACTCTTCCCATTTTTTCGTATACTTAATGGTTTACTATTTTTCCTTGCCGACTAGGTACACATAATTAGTGTTACTAAAAAAAAACTAATTTTTTCGGCCATTTTGAGATTTGAATATTTTCTCAGGGGGGTCTCAAATTGAAAAAATGTATTGGAAGTACCCCCCTAAAATTACTCTTTAAATACCTCCTTAAAATATTTGCACATCATTATGAAACACCCTGTATATTGTAAAATTAAGGTTATATGAAGAAAGTCAACATTCTTTTCCCATTGTGAACTTTAATGTTTTTGTGGGGAACCACATAGCTTTAAAAAAATCAAGGACATTAGTTTTATGACTAGACACAGACAAAAAAAAATGTGTAAAAAAATAACAAAAGGTAAACAGCTACAAAAAAAACTGTTTCTCAATATTCATAAATCACTAGCACCCAATATAAAATAAAGTAAGCAGTGGCTAAGAAAATGAGGGATTTCATGACTAAAAATTCTGTATTTTATGCAAGTATATTCAACTTTTTTACTGATAACTTTTACTAAACTTCTATTATTAATTTTTAGTTACAGAGAGAGATTTGGGACGACATAAAAGAGTACCAGGATGGGTACAAACAGGTCATAAAGCAAAGAGAGAGGAACAGAATCCCTTTTTTTCACCAGTCACCTCAAGTAAAATATAATTCTCGCAAGATATGATTATCTTTCGTAAACTTTTGCGTTTCCCGAACACAATTTGATGCTTTTTTTTAGTTTGCGTACCGACTTCACTTGGTGGAGTACATCAAGAGGATATGCATCGAGAAAAGACTGAGCCACTGCTGCTTGCATCTGGCAGTGTATCTGTTAGATATATTCATGGATAACCACTCCATAATTCCTGAGAGAGTTCTGATCGTTGCTAATGTGTGTCTACTTCTAGCCGGTAAATATAAAATTGTATTTTTGTCGATTTTGTTGTTCATTAAAACAAAATAAAAATTAGTTAATATTTTTGAGCATTTCTCTTGTTTATTAAGAGGTCTCCTCATAACGATCACACTTTTAAGCTAAATTTGAGGAGCGCACGACCACTACCCCAAAAATATCAGAACTGAATGCCGCCATAAACGACCGTTACCCCCTGAAGGACTACCGAGACCTGGAGTTGGTTATCCTGAAATTCTTCCATTGGTACATCATGTTCCCCACTGCGGCGCACTACACGCATTACTACATGCAAGTCGTAATATCCAAAGACGATCTAAAGAGCAACCAGGGGGGTCTTAGGACGTTATTCTACAACTTACACGATGCTATTACCGGCTATCTAGACCAAGTCATCGACAGTAAGTGTGAACGTGGCAAAAAAGTAACTAGAATACACCGTTACCTTTTCAGACGTTCATTATATGCAGTGCTACCCCCCTTCGAAATTGGCCGCCGCTATAATAGCGGCTGGCAGGATCAAAGTTGGACTGTCCAGCTGGACTGAGCAGTTAGAGAATTTGACGGATTACAGTAAAGAGGACCTTCAAGAGCCCATTTTTATTTTGATGGTCAAGTAAGTTGGGAAGTCGAGAACGAAAAATATTTTACTTTATGTCTCTTTTTTTTACAGGAAATCGTTCATTTATTGCCAAAAATGCAATATGAACGCTTGAATTTTTTTTTTTTTTTGACTGCATAGTTGATTTGACATTATAAATTTGTTTAGTTGATTATCATGTTATAATTGTTATATAAAAATGTTGATGTGTTGTTTTATTATTCCTACATTCAACTCCAATTATTCACAGTAAAACAGGTAATTCTCCAATCAAAAATAAAAAAAGGTCATATGAATACGAATCCGCAACAACTTTGTTTTTAAAATACAGGGCGATAAAGCTTCACTTTGCTTTTAGTTATTCCTGTTTTACACATTAATGACATATCGATTGATATTAATGAACCTATTCCCTGGCCAGTAAGTTCACCAGATTTGAATCCATGTTACTATAGTTTTACTTGAAGTAAGATTTGAAGGAAGTTCACAAATCATATAAAAAGTAATAATAAGTAATATTTTGTTGAATATTATCCAAACAGTTCAAGATAAAAAAAATTTAATGATAAATCAGAGAAATTGTACATTTTGTCGGCCTTTAAAAAATTGAATGATCTTAGAAAATATGTAGGTACAAATGAAAATAACTAAAAAAAATTACTAAACTATCACCAACCTCAAAAACAAAATATTTGCAAACCTGTTTATATGTTCCCGTAGAATTCTGTCAGTGCAACATTACATAAGCAGTTTTTCTTAATTAACACTTACTTTGCTTTTTCAATGAGATGTGTGATATCGCCTGCTCTCAACTCCAATTCCTCCAAATTTGCAATCCATTTGGCCTGCAAGGACTCCTTATCTGCCTCTGAAGGTGTCTTCAAACTGCCCCCTATAACCCTCCCCGTCAGTACGAATCTAAACCAGATCCCACGAGCAGATTCCACTGCCAGCAAAGTGGTGCACTCAATTTGAAGACCTGTCTCTTCCAGAACTTCTCTTTTGCTCGCTGCTATGATATTTTCACCTTTTTCAATCCTGCCCGCTGGCAGATACCTTAATAGAAATGTAAGACAATAAAAACGGTGTTTTAATACACCTATTAATTAAATACTTTGAGCATGAGCATTAGATTGGAAAATCTTGCTTTCTCTTTTAAATAAGATGTAATAGAACAATGTTAATATCTTGACAAGTTTTACTAAAATACCATCATTATTAGCGAAGACGGGAATCTAACTGACCTAGTTTAGTGAAACAATGTATGATTTTAATTACCATTTACCAGCACATGACTTTTTGGCTTCCTGCATCATCAATACCTCGTCGTATTCATTGAGAATAACACAAGCCACGACGTATGTCACAGTTTCGTCCAGTATAGGCTTATACTTTGGATCCAGGCTCGGTTGGATTCCCTGTGATTCCAGTGCGTCATTCTGCTCTTCCAAAGAAAAATCACATATTTCTGCCTCGTCCCCATCCAACGACAACCCATTCAGCACCCTCTGAAGGTTCTGTTCCACTGTGTCTGGCATTTTCTTGATTAGGTTAACCTGGAGAATTTGGCGACACGCGCGAAATTAGTTTAACATTAATAAACACTTACAATGTTGATTGCGCACTAACGAAATTAGAATAAATAAAGCGCAAAACGAAGAAAACACATATTGTTATTGCAGATTTTTTTTGGAATGTCAGGAATGTCGGCACGTCCTCGAGTTCGATGAAAATGAAAATAGCGGATTACTCACAGACCGTTGGAAGGAGTACTCAGCGTAGTACGTCTTATGAAAATTAGGTGAACGGCTGAATGCATTCCGATCTAAAACTTGTTTCCTTCTTATACCCACCCATGGAATTTTAATTAGCTGTCTTATAAACAAATCATTTAACAACACTTCGTACCGTTATTTATTTACTTACAAAATTAGGCAACCCAAAATACTATCCATCTCCTGTTCATTTTGTTCACCTCTGACGAAGTTGTGCTAGAAATCTGTATTTAATATGACTCTACATAAATTAACTATTTCACTATCCACAACAAAATTTTACATAAAATAAGTGACAAATATATATATCGCGTTTTTACATTTATCCAATTGAAAAAAGTAATTTTTAATTTCATATATGTACTGCCATCTATCATCGAATGATCAACATTGAATTACTAACATAAAAAAACATTTTAAAGAGCTATAATCCCTAATTACTTTATTAAAATTATTAATTAACAACATAATTAAAATATTTAGTTTTTCCGTGCCGCAGCAACTAAATGTTTTGTATAATTTCATAAAATTAAAATTGGAATTTAAATAACTTACTTGCCATCTTCTTTTATTACACACAATTCTGTATCTGCTATCATTTTCTGTTGTAACTGACGCCACCCTTCTTCTTCCCCTTTAAGCAACAATCAATCCCAAAAATAAACTTCTGTCAATTGAAAAAGTTTTGTCCTTTAATTTTAAGTAAAATATATTGTAAAAATAAGTATAAGTGTTAATAATTATCTTTAAGGCGATTTTTTAAATTAATAGTAGAAAGTGTAATTAGTATAGTGTGTTTATTTATTTTAAAGAGAAAGGTAATCTAACCAAACTTTATTGGCCTTTTAAACTTACATAAGTTTACCCTTAATTTTGTTCCTAACCACCAATAAAAATTCATATTTTATTGCCTAGATAAAATGGACGTATTTAATTTGATTTCGTGGCGAATTTTAATTTGACTTCATATGATAGTTTGGAATTGTATTTTCAGAATTGCAGCAAGAAACATGTCAGACCGTTACCCTTTTACGGGTGACAGAGCCTTTACCCATAACGGGACCATGGTTTGGAACGATCAAGTGGCTGTCCAGTCGTCTTTAGACTTCTCTCATGTGTCAGATTCTACATTAACTGACAGCATTAATGAAAGCTACGCAACTGCCGTGGAAGATAACGAGACACAATATCTATCAGTCCTGGAGACAACCAACGATATCACTTTGGAAGATTTACACAACTTAACGTTGGAGAACTCTAAAATTGCACCACAGGAGAACTTACAGTTTGAAAATATGAGTCCGATGGAGAGTTTAGAGACTAATGAAAGTGAAATGAACGATCAACAAGTTATAGTGTTTAGTGTAGAAGGTTCTGATGACTTATACGGAATACAGTTTGCTCAGGACGAAGAGGGCAACATGCAGAAATACCAGTTCAAATTCAGGTATATTTGAATTATTTAGTAAATCTGAAATTACAATTCTTAAATTTGCAGAACAACGGAGGAAGGTCAGTTAGAGGCCATTCCCGAGTCAATTCAGCTACTGGTGAATGACATCGAAACACATGAAAAAGATGTAGAAAGTGGAAGTCCAGTCCAAGAGCCTGTTAATAACGAAGAAGCTGAAATGACAGAGACTCAGGTTATTTACCAGGAAGAGACTGAGGATATACAGGAAACACCCATTTTTGAGGAACAAGAAGAGTTGTCCGAGGAGCATATCCAGGAAGAACAGTGCGGTAGTGTTCAGATGTTTATAAAGGGCGAGCCGGAACATGAAGAGGAAATCAGCCATAGGCAAGTGTTTATTGATGGAGAATCAAGGGATGAGGAACTGGGGGATGAGCAAGAGATACAGTATGAAGAAAATGAATCGGATATACATTTAAGAGTAAACTTTGAAGAAGAGGAAAACGTTGATGTTAAAACTGGTGAGTTTGATTAATTCTTTCTTTGTAGAAAAAAAGGAACTGTAGCAGTGAAGCAGTGTTTTCATTATCAACACAATTTTATTAATGTTAAGCGAATGCTTATCACATTTCATTGTTTGCAGATCACAGGGTGAATGTTAAAAGTCTAATTGCAGTCGGTCATTTTTCAAAATTGCAAATATTTTCAATTTGTTAATTTTCACAGTATTTTTCTTTCTAAGTGTGTTTAATTAATATTGTCGGTGAAGTATGGTATATTGAAGTAAAGTAATTTATACAAAGAGTATATTAAGTAACATTTTTTCTGAGGTATTTTCTGTGCAATGAAAATGCACATCCGGCAAAAATTTTATATGTGGATTGGTACGAAGATCAAAGAAATATTCCAAATGATAAATTTTTGTCGATTTGTTATTTTCTCAGAGAGTACCTTTAATAGTATTTGTGTGTTTATTTTAGAAGGTGATTCTAATCCAAACAGAAATAATGACATAAATTTCTATGATGCTTTTTCAAAAGTTTGATATTTACAGAATTATATAATCACAAATTTAGATTTTTATAAATAAATTTTTTACCATAACTTTTTCAGTTAAGGGAGGCTGATTTTCAGGCGTTATTCATGAATTTTTTGAGTGGGAAAAAATTGATTAGAATTTGATCAAACTTTAACATTATTTTGAGAATATTTTGAACATTTACAAAATTTTTCAAGTTGTCCATCAGAGGTTGTTGTCCGAGTTGTTCATGAGAAATGTGGAGGTTACAATTTTGATGTGAAAGTAAAATGGTTGTTTTCCTGCATTATTAACATGTTTTCTAAGAATTTGAACCTCATTGCGGATAAAAATTGTGAAAATTGGAGTTTTGACATGTTTTTGAAAAATGTATGAATTTTCACCGTCCTTTTCACTTATTTTGAATAAAAAACACCCTTAAAATTATGATATCATCCCAATTGTTGGTTCATGTTCTTTGTAATTTCATAAAGCAACATTCTTTTAAATTTCATAATGATCGGTTCATATCTTTTTGAGCTAGAGAAAAACGTGTTTGAAGATTTCCGAAATCTAGAAATTTGATAATAATATAGAGTGCTTTCTGATCAATCAGTGATTCCAGCACCATATAGCAGTCTTTTTTTTTCATAAGCAGCATTCTGAGCTTGCATCTGTTCTTTTCTTGCTTAATAAATGAGTAGACTACCTGAACAAGTGCTCCGTCCTACCTGCTATGCGTCCAAGCGCTCACCCAATGCACGTTCGGTTTTAGGCTCATAAAATCGGAACGAATAGGAATTTGATTTTGAAATTTTGGCAATGTATTCTTGAGTTATATTAAGGACCCCGCAACTATCCTTGTGGAAAACCGGTCCCTTTCGAATGATACGAAACTTTGCCAAATGATAGTCCTCAATGTGTCAATCAAGAAAGTCCATGGGACCTAAGTCTGAAAAACTACTATTCTGAAGCTACAGCGAAGTTATCGAATCGTTAAAACATGAGATGTCTTGTATCGCTTAAAGAATGCGAATCACCAAAACTTTTCTTCAGTTTTCTGAAGGTGCTTCAGCTATTTCCTGAAGACTGCGGAATGCTGCAGATATGCTGATGACGGATAAGTGTTCGGAATGCGTAAAAACATAAGATGTCGCTCAAGCAGTACGCGTCGCTATCATTGTTCTTCAGTAGGTGCTTCACCGATTTTCTGAAGACTGAAGGATGATACAGCTATTTTGACCGTGGATTCCCATTTATCACACGAAAATACATCAAGAAACATACAGCTTGGTCACTTTATAAAGAAATATTTGCTTTTACTCGCCCGTAAATCATTGGACTTGATGGTCATCGAGCACGTGGATTCGATAACTTCAGAAGGCTGTAGCTTTAGAACAGTAGTTTTTCAGACTTAGGTCCCATGTACTTTTTTGATCGACACATTGAGGACTGTCATTCGGTAAAGTTTCGTACCATTTGACCGGGACCGGTTTTCCATAAGGATAGTTGCGGGGTTCATATGCGATAAAAAAAAAATCCGATTTTTTTAACCTACTAATTTTTTCAAATTTGGTACACTTGCAAACTAACAAACCAGACGATTGTATATATTAAATTCTGCAAAATCTTCTAAAAATTAAATATAAATTGAAAATAATAATCATTTAACAATATTTTAAGAATAAATGTATTTACAAAATTCTCGTATATTCTCGATTTGTTCTTGTTCTCTAAAAATGAATTCTCCAGCATTTTGCATCACTATGCATAAATAGATTGCTTGCTTGCATTCAAGGGCATTAAATTATTGTTTTAATAATTTGTTCCGGTTTTGTTCAATGTGATAAACATTAACATAGCGGAATACGATCTTGACGATGACCTGACGTCTAGTTTATTGTTCGCTTCATTATTAAGGCATACTGGAAGAAAGTTCCACCGCCTCCAATATAAAGCAAGAATTGTTCCAAGAAGAGAGTCTGGACGCTGGTGACCAATCCCCTGAAGAAGAAGAGTACCACATGTATAATCAGGTGGATGTTAAACCTGTACCTTATCAAGAGGACAACAATGAGGAAGAGATTCCCATTTCCGACCATGAAGTTGAAGGTTTGTTATTAATTTTTAAGAAAAGAGGGATTTATCTATTAGTACTACAATAATTCGATGTTAAAACATATTTGAAATAAATAAATTTATTGTTATTATTAATTTCGTCTGTCCAGATAATGTTGAGGTGGACAACGGCTATGTGGACGTGGACGAGGCTCAAGAAACCGTCCTGGAATATGAGCATTACGCTTCTGAGGAAATTCAGCATGTTTATGAGGAAACGGACACGAGCGACAGTCAAGTTTTGCAGGAGGTTCCTCACAGGACCCACTTTAAACAGGTGTTTATAAAGGAAGACGCTTTCGAGACATTGTCGGAGGCGAAAAAATCAGATGTTCTCCAGGAGGAGGAAGAGGACCAGGAGCCGTACTATGCGGAAACCGGAACAGAAAACGATTCCGACAATGACGAATACCAGATCGTGGAAGGGTTGCATGTTACAGGTAGGTGTTTTTTTTAGAAATGGCTTTATGTATTTTATAATTTGAAATGGAACTTTGGTAAAATGATAACGTTGTGGTAGAACTATATGGACGCACAGAAGGATTACAAAATGACCCGCTATCAGTACCCGTAGGCTCCTCCTGATGTTCATTGTGGTTCATATTCTTGGTTCTAAGGTTGGTATGGTTGGAACCACTCCTCAAACAAACTTGGTCATATCCGATGCTTCCAAACGTTGCTGCTTTCAATCTTGTCACTGGTGTTATAGCGTCGGTGTGACTGATTTAAATGAAAAAGTACCGATTTAAAAGTGGAAAATTCCGAGTTATAAATCGGACAAATTTTAATCCAATAATCTATCCTAATCTAACTTAAACTGCTACTGAAGTATATTTTTCTGACTTCTAACTGGTAACTTCTGACTTGTAAATCTGATTTTTCTCATTTAGAACTTGGAATTACGAGGAGGGATTAAAAAATAAGGTTTCCACATTTTTTAAAAATAGAATTGTTTATTTTATCTGAATAGTACACCATTGGAAAGCTAGTTTTTTCCGCTACTTTTTAACATAGTCGCCGTTTTTTCAATACACTTTTCTTGACAGACATTCACTTTTGTAGACCTTCCTCATAGTAGTTCGCCGCCAACTCGTTGATGAACCTGGTAACTTCTTCTTTCACTTCATCATCCATGTTGAATCGTTGTCCACGATTCTTTAATTTAGGGAACAAGTGGTAGTCACTCGGTGCCAAATCAGGGCTGTAGGGGGGTTGTGAATGACAGCCCAGTCAAATTTGTTGATTAATTCCTAGGTTTGGCGTGAAATGTGCGGACGTGCATTGTCATGGTGCAGTCTTGTGCCTTTGGTGAATTTTCCCCTTCGGTGATTTTGGATAGCCCTTCTGAGTTTTTTTAAGGTCCCACAATAACTGTCTGAGTTTATTGTGGCCTCTTTAGGCATAAACTCCATAAGCAAAACACCCTTACGGTTCCAAAACACCGAAGCCATGATTTTTGCTGCAGACAGCGGCGAACTGAAGTGGCGTCACTGTTGAGATTGTCGTTTTGTTTTGGGAGTGACGTAGTGGCACCATGTTTCATCACCAGTGACAATGGAGTCCAAGAATTCTTCAGTGTTTTCGACGCATTCTTGAAGAAACTCCTGGGCACAATCGACCCGTTGCTCTTTGTGTTGCTGCTGTAAGCATGTGCGGAACCCAACGTGCACAAATCTTGTGATAGCCCAATTTCTCGGTCAAAATCCTTTCAATGGAGGCTTCGGAAGCCTCAGGAACCCGAAGAGCCATTTCCTTGATCAAGATTTTCCGGTCTTCGAGCAGAATTTGCTCAATATTTGCGACAGCCTTGGGAACCTTATTTTTGAATCACCCCTCGTATAGTTTTCCAACTTACAAATTGGATTTTTCTGGCTTAGAACTATGTTTTTCTTACTTGTTGCTCGGAAACTTTGACTTTTAAGTTAGGAAATATGATTCCAATTTTGAAATGAGAATTTTTGGGTTACGGGTCAGAAAAATGTCCTTTCAATAACGTAACCTAACTTAACTTGCTATCTTAATGATATTTTTCTGACTTTTAATTTGGTAGGTACGTGTATCTTGTAACTTACATTTTTCTCATTCAGAACTTGTTTTTCTCCTTACAAGCCAGATTTTTGTCGCTTAGAATTCGGAATAGTATTTTTTTTTACTTGTAACTCTGAAATTTCGACTTGTAGGTCACAAACGGTAATTCCAAGATTTAAATGAGAAAAATTTATGAAAAAGTTGGAAGTTTCGAGTTGTAATCCGGAAAAAAACTTAATTCAATAATTCGATATTTAATTTGTAACTTCTGATTTGTAATTTTGAATTTTTTTCCTACCTGTAACTTGAAAATTTTTATTTGTAATTCAGGAAATATAATTTCAACTTTTCAATGAGAATAATCCAATTTACAAGTCAGAATTTTCAAGTTACGAGTCAAAAAATTAATCTAATTTATTTTTGGAATGATATTTCAGAATTGAATTTTTCTCACATAAATTATATTTTTTCTAGTTCTATTTTGGAAATTTCGAAATTTGAATCAGAAAAATCTGATTTACAAGTTAGGAATTTCGATTTACAAGTCAGAAATTCCTAATTACAGGCAAGAAAAAAGTAAATTTCATAATCAAACTTAATAGAATCCTACATCTAATATAATCTTATTGGAATCACATTTTTCGTACTGCTAACTTAGAACATAGAACTTGTAATTTGTATTTTTCTCATTTACAACTCAGATTTATAGTTTTTTCGATCTACAGGTTAAATTTTCTCACCTAGAACATAGAACAATATTTTCCTGACTTGCAATCTAAGTCATTCTAATTTAACCTGCCATTAAAAGTAACATTTTCCTGACTATTAACTCTTATTTGTAAATTGGATTCTTCTCATTTAGAACTCAAATTCATATTTTTCCATCTTACAACTTACAAGACCAGTTTTTTCTTTCTTATAATTTTTACTTATAATTTGTAAATTTCCATTTTTAATGAGAAAATCTTACAAGTCAGAAATTCTGACTTATAAGTAAGAAAAATGTAAATATTATATTTCTGCTAAATCAAAACTTATTACTTTCAAGTCCATTTTTCTCATTTAAAATTTATAATTATAGTTTTTCAAGTTATAGGTCAAATTTTCTCATTTAGAACCCGAAATTGTATTTTCCCGACTTACAAGTTGCGTTTTTTTTTCTTACTTTGAAAAAATAAAAGAATATATCCTCCAGCCCATCTCGGCTTCCACAGAAATCACAGAATTAATTTTTATTAAAAAAATCTACATTTTTAGCACAACTAAAAGATTATTTTTTACCCTCTTACAATTCTACCTAATTAAAGTTTTGAGATTTAAAAGCTGACCTCGACTGAAAATAATATCGTTTCAGCGGAGGGCGACATAGACCAGGACGCCGCCTGCCCTCCCTACCAAGAATCGGACACCATCCTCCAAGAAGTCGTGAAGAAACCTCCGGTCTTGGAACGCGCCAACATACTCAAGCAGCCGTCTTTGGTCAAGGTCGCCAGAGAACTGAAGAACAAGAAAACCTTCATCTACTACGTCGTACCCCATGTAGAAAAAGAAAACGTCAATTCCCTCTCGGTAAACTACGCGACGACCACAACGACTGCCCTAAGGCCCATCCGGTCGAATCCACGCAGCATCCTCAAAAGCTCGTTCCCGGAGATGAGGGAGGAGCCCGAGGTTAAGGCTCTGATAGACGAGCGGTTCAACAAGAGATTCGCGCGGAGCAAGGAGGCGGTCCAGGCGAGGTTGTTCAATAATTTCATCAGTAAGACGACCATACCGCACGCCCCGGTCAGGCAGACGAGGCTGCCCAGGAAGCAGCAGATCAAGCCTGTGGATAATAGGAGGGATGAGGAAATCATTGTGCAGGAGGTGATGGTGGGGTCCAACGGGTTCATCGAGAACGTTGAGGAGAAGCTCAAGAATAAGGATAAGTTGGAGGTGAGTTAGTGTGTTGTTTTGAATTCGATATATTAAAACTTTAGAACTTTTGCAATATATTTTAAATTTAACGTTCCGTTTATGAATTTGAAGTCGTTTTGAGGCGGTTGAAGATCATGTACTGAAAAACACGAAATTTGTATAGAATTACCATAGTCTTAATCGTGACTATAGGTACATTACTCTCAATTTGTTTCTTTTTGAATGTGATGACACAATCGGTGGCTTTAGAGCAATGGTACATTATATTTTTGCTAAAATAATCAAAATTGTTTATTATTGGCCACAGATGTCAGAATATTAAGCCCAGTGAACACAAAAATTAGGTAATGTAATAAAAATAACCAGTATGGGAGCTGTAATAATTCATTTCTTTTATTCGTTTGAGTTTCCATGATAATAATTAATATAGATGAGATAATAAATATAAATTCACAAATATGTAAATGCAGTTAATTCTTGAACTTTTTTTTTGTCTGACTATTATAACAGTCCAATTTAAACCAACTTAACCTAACTTAATCTGACATTCTGTACAATTAGATATTTTCCACATAAATATGTAATTAAAATGTAGATATGTTTTTTCTTTGAAGAGTAGTAGTTGATGGTTGACGATTTTCGCTTAGATTAAATTTAATCTATTGCCTCAAGCTACCTTCAAAGAGTGATCGCAAAAATCGCCCGTTTTTTCACAATTCGCAGAGAACTAAAGAAAATAGATAAAAATATGTTTTTGGCTCAAGTTACTCGTGGTAAAAAATTAAGATGAGCATAGCTTTTAGTATTTTGAAAATTTTTAAAAAACACCCCTAGATAGGGGTTGAAAAGACACCCACAATAAAGAATTGAATATTACCAATAAATATAAAAACTATTAGCACGTGAATTTTTCTATCGAATGATTCTTGATACAAAGAAAGTTTTATTCTCATGACTGAAATAAGCGTGTTGAATTAGAAAATCCACCCTTAAGCGCGTTTAGGAGGTGGAATCATCCCCAAAAATAGAGAAAATCAGAAATTATTGTAAAAATTCCAAAAAAAAATATATTAAGATAATTCACATGCTAATAGTTTTTATATCAATTGGTAATATTCAAATTCTTAATTTTTGTCATTTTTTTCAACCCCTAATTAGGGGTGATTTTTAAAATTTTCGTAATACTAAAAGCTATGCCCATTTCAGTTTTTTACGACAAGTAATTTGCGACCAAAAACCTAATTTTATGTATTTTTTTAAATTCTCTGCGAATTGTGAAAAAAACGGCCGAAAATCACAGGTTTTTAGTGGTCACCCTTTGTGTACGGGATGTTAGATTTTTTTGGAAAACGATAGTAATGATTTTGTGGAAAAATTTTCAGTGAAATATAGACTTAATGATTTAAAACATTATTTTAGACAAAGAAAAATATTGAACTACATATGTAACTCATTTTATTATCTAAAGCACAGTTTTAACTTTTTTTTTCCAAAATAGTGAAGTTAGAGAAACATTGAAAAACAGTTTAAAGGTCTTTTTAATTAAATACTCTGCGTTCCACCAAACTCATTAGTTACATCGTTTCTGATTGAACTTATTAATTCTTGGAACTTTACCAATGAATTAAAAATTTTGCCTCTTCACACATTTTCTTCTATTTTAAATATGTACAAATAATTTTGTTGTTTTTTTTTCTTAATATAGCAAAAATACCCAACTAAATTAAAAAAAAGTACCCATAAATTTCTGCGAATAAATAATTACAGACAATATTTCCAATGCCTTCTAAATGTACACAAATCTTGAGATACGGCCCTATTCAAATTTAAATTTGCCGCCTGTTTACTCTTCATACGTTAAAATTCGAATCGTTCCTAACCTCAAAAATCAAGTTTCGTTGATTTGATTTTGAATTCAAAATTCTCAAACGGTCTCTGATCTCTGACACGTAGGCATCATTGCTGGACGTTAGAGTTGTAGAGAATAGTTTACAAAGAAGAGGAAAGTTAATTGATTTTGTATTTTATATGTGAGTATTATTTATTACTATGTCCATACGTTATATTAAGTGTAAAAAAACAAAAATTACCTAGTGAATTATCGACGATTTCGTGTGAATCAAAATTGTTTACTGACTATGTTTGAGATAAAAATCAAAACAAAGGTTTTATGAATAGGACTGCTAATTAATTTTGAGGGATTTTTTTTTATAAATTCAAGACTATTATGTGCATTTTTAATTTGTATTGCCCACCGCTAGTCACTACTTTTTCCATCTCTCTGGCAGCATACGGATTCCGCGTCGAAAGAACGCTATCCACATCCACCAATCGATCCAATTTTTCGTATCTTCGTAATATTGAAAGCGTTGAATTGGGTAAAACATCCCATTTCAGCGTTTCTAAGTATTTATTCACTTCATGAGCAACAAATGGTCGAGTGTTATCATGCTGAAAAATTAATTTATTTTGTCATTGCTCGAATTGCGGCCGTTTTTCCTTCAATGCACAGCTCAAACACAGCAATTGTGTTCGGTAGTGGTCATCAGTGATGGTTTCATTCGGTTGAAGTAGCTGATAGTACACAACACCAAGCTGGTCCCATCAAATACAGAGTATGAGCCTTGAACCATGAATATTTGGCCTTCCTGTCAATGTTGATGCATGACCAGACAAACCTCACGATCTTCTTTGCTTAAGATTATCATAGCATTTCCATTTTTCATTGCCAGTGACAATACGATGCAAAAAACCCTTTCTTTTTTGCCGTTGAAGCAATTGTCCACATGTAAAAAATCGCCACTCAACATATCTCGACTGGCACCCAATTTCCTTTATTTTTAATCATACCAAGTGCATTTAAACATTTGGAAATTGTTGTGTCACCGATATTCAACGATTCAGTAGGTTTATATTGCTTTTGACGTGATTCTTGATTGAGTAATGCTTCGAAATCCTTATCTTCGATTTTTTTCGGTTGATCGGGACGTTCTTTGTCAATTATATTGAAATCACCACTTCTAAAATATCAAAACCAATACTCGCACATTGTTATCGACGGAGTATGTTTACCGTAAGTTTCCAGCAACCCTGGATGACTTGTAGCAGCACTTTTCTTTGAATGAAACAGGAATGATGGCTCGTAATTCGACCTCTTCGGAGCTGTGAAAAAAATGTGTTGTTACAGAAGTGTCCGATGTAATACAGCATAAGTTACGCCATCTATTGTAAATTCCTCAAAATTAATTCATGGTTTTAGTAGCAAAATAAAATTTTGACAGTTTTGTCTTAAATGCAGTTTCTTGATTGTTATTCTTTTTAAGGTGACACAGTACGTGATATTAACTGATTCTGACGAGGACTACGATCCCAAGAAAGTCAACAGGAAGAAGAAAAAGCACAAAAAACACAAAAAGGGCGGCGACATGGACGACGCCGAAGATTCGGATGTCAGCATCATAGAAATCCGGTCAGATGATGAAGAGACAACACACGACCAACAAGAGAGCCCCAAGAGAGGAAGGGGCAGGCCGAAAAAGTCCACAGACCCCGATCCCATGGACAGCACAAAGAGGAGGCGAGGCCGACCGCCTAAATCCAGTTACAGTCACAGCGACACGGAAGAGTCGCCTCAGAAGAAGAGCCGAACGGAATCGGACGAGATCGAGAGTGACACGACGAAGAAGGAGTTTAAATGTCCCCATTGTATAAAGACCTTCCCCAGCCAGAACAGCCTCAGCACCCACTTGCATCACCACAGCCTTGAGAACAGACTGAGGAACAGCCAGGCGAATAAAGCCGCTGCCAAAAATGCCATCACCAACTTAGAGTACAAATACAAATGTGAGACTTGCCAGGCGTCGTTTAAGAACAGCGTCCTGCTGAAGCGCCACGAGTGTCCCAAGCAGACGAAGAAGCTGACTAAACGAATTGAGTGTGGTATGTGCAAGAGGAGTTTCCCTGATTTATCTGCCCTGAACGTCCACAAACGATCCCATGTGAAGGAGAAGATGGTCAATACCACGTCAGTGACAAAGGTGAGTAGAATAAGCGACAGCACACATAATTTTTCAGAGCGTGCAACGGATATTTTATTAGGCCTCGGTAAATATACACACACGTTATGCATTTTTTAAAAAGTATTTTTGTCGTAATCTCTGCAGGAGATGTCGTATAAAATATGCTTTTTCACTTCGCTGGTCATCGGTATATTACATGGTGTATTCTCTGAACCGACAGTCAACTCAATTCAAAAAATGGAATGTGTTGCTTTTATTTTGCAGATATTACATTGTTGCCCGTCTACGCATTTTCAGTTGTTATTTTCGCTGAAAAAAGAGTGAATTATCGATCGTTTGCTTCTGAATAATTCATTTTGATACTAATCGCAGGCGAAGTTCGTTTCAATACTCCAGATGTTCTCATATCGTGTTAATCACGTAAATTATTACATAGTGTGCAATTAATAATTGACGACCTTAATTAATAAGTGAGGGTGCACACGATGAACAGTCGGCGACTGACTATTATGTCAGTGAGGGATAATACATCACATATACCTATGAAAACACGCAAACACAGTTTTGTTATTTAAAAAAATAATCGGCCATTTGTCATGTCTGCTCTCACTAAGCGAAAACAAATATTTTTACTTTTGTAATTTAAAAAAGTTTAAAATTTTTATTGTAGTCTATAGAGTGTTCTAGTTTTGATATTTTTCTGGATTTCTTGAGATTTCCGAAGAGATAGACAAAGTAGTTCAAATGTCCCAAGCACAAACATATAAATCGGCATAAAGACCCAATCATTCATGTTAAATTTGTTGTAATCGTTTTAAATATTATATATTTTATTGAATACTCCAAATAGCTGTTGACTGAAACCTTTTGTTGTTTTTTTTTTACTGAAGAATGTTCACATTCTCAAATATTCTCGTGAAAATTCTGAAAATGCTGTTATGTATTCTCCAAATATCTCAAAAATATTTTTGAAGACCCCAATACTTGTTAATATTTGGGAAACGCTATTTAAAACAAAATTCTTTATTCTAAAAAAATAATCGTCCATCTGTCATGTCTGCTCTCACTAAGCAAAAACAAATATTTTTACTTGTGTAATTTAAAAAAGTTTAAAATTTTTATTGGAGTCTACAGAGTATTCTAATTTTTATATTTTTCTGGATTTCTTGAAATTTCTGAGATAGACAAAGTAGTTCAAATGTCCCAAGCACAAACGTATAAATTGGCATAAAGACCCTATCATTTATGTTCCATTTATTGTAATCGTTTTAAATATATATTTTATTGAATACTCCAAATAGCTGTTGACTGAAAACCTTTGTTGTTTTTTTTTTATAATGAAAAATATTCACATTCAAATATTCTTGTGAAAGTTCTGAAAATGCTGTTATGTATTCCCCAAATCTCTCAAAAATATTTTTTAAGACCCCAATACTTCTTAATATTTGGGAAACGCTATTTAAACATGTCATGTCATGTCATGTCATGTAATGTCTGCTCTCACTAAGTGTAAACAAATATTTTTAATTGTGTAATTTAAAAAAGTTTAAAATTTTTATTGTAGTCTACAGAGTGGGCTAATTTTGATATTTTCCTGGGTTTCTTGAGAATTTCGAGGAGATAGACAAAGTAGTTCAAATGTCCCAAGCACAAACGTATAAATTGGCATAAAGACCCTATCATTTATGTTCCATTTATTGTAATGGTTTTAAATATTACATATTTTATTGAATACTCCAAATAACTGTTGCCTGAAACCCTTTGTTTTTGTTTTTAATGAAAAATAGTCACATTCTCAAATATTCTCGTGAAAGTTCTGAAAATGCTGTTATGTTTTCTCCAAATTTCTCAAAAATATTTTTTAAAACCTCAATACTTCTTAATATTTGGGAAACGCTATTAAAAAATATATATTCTTTATTTTTGAGACAAGTTTAATGAATATTTGTGAAAAGATTATTATTTTGACTGGACAGATTTGTCAAGTCTGTATCATTTGTTCAAGTTATACAAATCAGTACTACAATTCATTTGGTACAAATTTTCGATATGAAAAAGATTTCTACTGTTGTACCAACTTCTGTCTTTTGAAGTTTCCAACTTTTTACAGAATAAATATATGACATAAACGGTCAGTAGTATCCAAATTTTTTTTGTTTTATAAATATACATTGTAAAGGGACACATTGTATATTTATAAAGTTGTCTATAAATGGGTAACATTTTTATTATTAATTTTACAAAAAGAGGTATTCTTTATAAAAAGTTCTATGCTATATTAAATGTGAAAAATTTAATACCATATTTTCGAAAAGTAGAACTTTTTATAATATATCTTTTTTTTGTCAAATTGATAGTAAAAAACTTATTTGTAGAGAACCTGAAAGGACAAAAAAAAATAGAAGGACGTTATGAACCTAAACTTAGACTGAATTTTTAATTCCACGTAACATTTTCCCATTACATTTTTCGAAAATGAAAACTAATTGTACTTCTCCCTTATCAAATTTTATTTTTTTTTTAATTTTTGGCCACCCTGTATATGTTATCTCAAGTTTGAAAAGTTTAATACCATTTTTTCAAAAAGTAGAATTTTTTAAAGTTACCCATTTGTAGAGAACTTGACCCATTCTACATTTGACAATTTGTAAGATAAGTGTTTGAAATTATTTAATTTAGCCCAATACTTTTATAGTAAAGTAAAAATACGGAATTGCCCCACCGCGAACGTTTATAAATCAATTTTTCCAGGTTTCTCCGAAGAAAGTCCTACCCAGGCCCTCCACCAGCAGGCCCCGGTCCCCGAAGAGAACAACCTCCACGTCCAAGCTGACCTTCAAGTGCAAAGACTGCTCGCGAGTGTGTTTCTCCCAAGAAAGCCTCGATCTGCACGAGAAGACTCACAGGAAGTTCACATGCGCCACTTGCGGCGCTACCTTCTCCTCCCGGTTGCTCCTCGACACGCACGTCAGGGTGAGTTGCGTCAAGGCCTCGCCCCAGGTCAACAAGCGTCTCTCCTTCAAGATAAAGAAATCGTTTGTGCATTCGCCCAGGCGGAGGTCGATACGGTACTCGAGGAAGAGCCTGGTGCCCAACAACAATCTCAACGTCTCCTCCAGGCCGGTACTGAACAACAGCCTGGCCTTGAAGCTGGAGTGCGAGCAGTGCGGGGAGAAATTCACGATGTTCGAGGATTGCTTCAACCATAAGGTCAAGGTAGGTCATATTTTTGTTGTTTTTTGGTTATTTTGGGAGCTGCCACTTTTGGTTTTTATATATTTTATGAAATTGGCAAAAATTTTTTTGAGAATTGTTGAACTTTTTGCTTCATACCCCGCTTTACTAACTTCTGCTGACGATAGCTTTGCTTGACGATCGCTTTAAGAATTATAAAAAGAAATTAAATATGGGGAGTTATTTTTAGATGCACGGTCTGGAAACCCCAGACAAGAGCATATTGATGGAGGAGAAGAAATGTTTGCACAAACCGAAATCCTTGCACGGCGGCATCCCCGCCCGCGACGGAATGAGGAAAGTGTTTTCGGACATGAGGAGTAAATTTGCCCTTATAACACCTAAAAAAAATTCCGGCTAGTTGTACAAAGCACTTAGTTTTAGTGTGTGCGTGACTGGACATGATTTGTACATACGAATTTTATCTGCTGTGCAGAAGCTGATTGTATTTAGCAGATTTGTATATGACCCTGAATATAGTTAATTTATCAGTTTCGACGATGATATTTTTTAACGGTTTTGTAAATTTATTGCCCCGAGTAAATATTATTCTAAGGTTGTGTTTATTTTGCCCCGTTTCCAAAATCCTCTCCTCGTCCTTACTGTTGTCCGTATAGGTGTTCGTTGGCGGCAACAATGGAATTTTTCAGGTTAATTTAAAGCAAATTTCATTGCAGGTACGTAAAATAATAGTTGGAAGATTTCTTATAAATTTATATCATTTTCAGGAATCGAAATTATTAGCTTAACATTTTTTTAATGCTATTTTTTAAATATTTTGATATTAATTAAATTTACATTGTATATTTTAAGAAGGGTGAAAATATCATTTTTTGTGATGAACAAGGTCAGAAATTAGACATATGAGGACATGAGCGCGATACAATACAACACGGTCATACTTTCGAGTATATATTACTGAAGGCGGTAGCCTCACAACTATGGTTACCAGATCTATTTCATAACAGACCCGGAGACATGACCCGTTTGTATAATTTAAAGGTTATGCAAGAAATCGATGTCTAGAAAAGAAAGAAAATATCTACTTCGTGGCAAGCTCAGAGATGGATTCCAGGGAGGGCGTTGTATAATTGATTTCAATTTAAAAAAAAAAAGCGGAATCAGGAAATGTGGGTATTTTCGAAGTAATCACGATTTTTCCCCAACAAAGAAAACCCGGAGAAATGATGTTAATCCGGAGGATGGGTGTTACAAGGCGAAAAGAGAGATAGCTGCCATGAAGGTACTTGCTATTTCTTTCGTCGAATGTGATTGGCCGTTCCTGTCACGTGGTATCAGTCGTGAGCCAATCACGTTCGGCGAGAGAAATAGCAAGTACCTTCATAGCAGCTCCCTCTTGACTTTTTAAGGCGCTCGGCCTTTGGGAGGCTACCTCCAGTAGTATGCTCGAAGGGTCGTACACGAAAAGCCAGCTTCTGAGCATGTGCAAAATTTGCCATGTATACAGGGTGTCCTACGGTGCAAGACATTAGACATATTTCAGAGACTTTCTAGTCCAATCAGTAGGTATTTATAGAAGAGCTTACAAAAAATACCACCTGGAAACAAAAAATATGGTGATATAGGAAAAAAAAATCTAAGAAAGATAGTGTCTTTTACCGCATAAACGGCGAAGTTAACCTAAAAAATTCATAAGAGTAAAAAAAACGTTTTTCCGCTTATAACAAAAAAACTTGAACTCCAATCGAAAAAAATTAATTGAGGAAGTTGTAGCTATTAAAAAATAAACCTATCGATTCATATTTTTGAATATTCGATTGCTATATTACTTTTCGAGATATATTGAAAAATCTGTCAAAAATCGATTTTTTTTGTTTTTGCTGTGTCTCTTGCAAATTAAAGTTTTGAAACTTGTTACTTGCTGTAAATGTAGCCATCGGCAAGCAAAAAAGTGCGTTCTTTTTTAAATTGAAAAATATGAAAAATTTTTCAAGATCGATTTTTCGAAAAAAAGGTCATCTTGAAAATTGCATCTTCTTGCTCGACGAATAGTTGTAGAGGAACGAATCAGCGCTCATTTTTTTTTGCCTTAAATCATGGTTAAAAAGAGTGATAAAGATTTTATTCATTTCAAGTATCCAAAAATGACCGAAAAAAGTAACAATTTTTTGGCCGCGTTTTTCTTGAATATCTTTTTCGATTTTCATTTTTCGATAATTACAGGAATCGGTTGTTGGCATATTTATGCGAATTTAAAAAACCTTGCTCTACGACTTTCTGGAGCCGATATATTTTTTTTTCAAAAAATTCCACTAGCCACTTCTACATTTTTAATTGTGCGTCAAACCCAGGCATTCGAACGCGGCGCGAACTAACTATAGTGGGCGGCGGAGTGGGGGTAACGATACTAGGCCGCTCCGAAAACTGAATTCGCGCGTTCAAGAGCGCTCTTACTTTCAAAATCTTAATTTTCTCGACTTCTGGACCACGTACACCTTTTGTACTTAAACTGGGGTAGCTCGACGAGATAAACCAAAATATGGCGTTTACGACGGCCTCAAGAAAAAAGCATAATTACCTTTGAAAAATATTATTTTCCTTTAGTCTAACATTCTCTCACTTCTTGTTAACATTTCAATAATTGTTTATGAAATAAAGTAAGTACAACGTTTTATGGTAATTATATATTTTTATTATATAAGTATTACAAAATATTTCTTTAATTATCGTACAGAAAATTACATGGTATAAAAATATTCGTCGATTACATTTTTTATTTTCACAGCTTATGTATATCACTCTTATGTTTCAATTCTTCTCTTCAATTCGCTAGATTGTGATTCATTTTCTTCTTCCATGGATTTGTTTCCTATATTTTCCACGCAATCGACTTCATTTTCCACATACATAATTCGTTTCATCAATGACTTATTCAAACATTAAAAAAAAGCGTCGATTAGTTTCTCTGCGACTATTCGTAGAGCAAGAAGAGTCGATTTTCGAGATTACCTTTTTTTCGAAAAATCGATATAACTCGAAAAATTTTTAATATTTTTTAATTTAAAAAAGGCACTTTTTTGCTTGCCGAGGACTACATTTACCGCAAGTAACAAGTTTCAAAACCTTAATTTGCAAGAGATACAGCAAAAACTAAAAAAGTTGGTTGATGGTTTTTTTCGATATATCTCGAAAAGTAATACAATAGCAATCGTATAGCAATCGATATATTTAAAAATATGAATGTATAGGTTCGACGATCAGCTACCGACCGGCAAAACAACGTCCGTGTGAAAGAGGAGTAAGCTTCCCTGCCATAATTTCAAAATGACTTAATTTCTTACGGGATGGTAGAAATTTAATGCCGAATTTAATCAACTTTAAACCATCTTAATTAGTTTTAATTTCAAAATAAGATCTTTGATGCCTGGATGTCAAGATAAGTTTAATTAAAATAAAAAGTAGAATTCCTCGAACAATAGTTCAACTTGCCTGCCCCTCTATACAGGGTGTATTACGAAGACGGCCCAGTAGAATTATCTCAAAAAGTAGTCAAAATTGAAATCTGAAAATTTGTATGCAGGGGTTGATCAAAACGATCTATTTAGTGAAAATAGTGTCAACTTTCTCGCACTTCCGTTTATACTGGAAGTCATTATCAACTCTGTTATTTCAAATGGAACACTGTATATTTATACGTTTTTTTAATTCTACGGCAAATTCTATACTATTTTCATATAAATTACTATAGGCAAAAATGTGACAGTTTCCAAGTTATCAATTTTCGAAAAAAATTGAGGGCTGAAAGTGATTTGAGTAAATTCAACTTTAACGTCACAATATTGGCCACACGTTTTTAAACACTCTGTATGAATTTTTGCAAATTTGACATAAACTGATTGAATTCCATTGCTTTTAAATTATCCATGCCAAATTTCATTAATAAATAAAGCTGAATGTCGGAGTTATTCTGTTTTCAAAAATCACTTGCATCCTTCAATTTTTTTCGAAAATTGATAATATCTTGAAACACACATTTTGGCCTATAAGTAGTACCTTATATGAAATTAGTCTAGATTAGTTTAGATTAAAAAATGCAAAAATATACAGAGTGTTCCATTTGAATTAACAGAGTTGATGATGACATCCGGTATAACCGGAAGTGTGAGGAAGTTGACACTATTTTTATTTGATAGATCTTTTTGATGAACCCCTGTATACAAATTTTCAGATTTCAATTCTGCCTACTTTTTGAGATAATCCTACTGCGCCTTCTTCGTGATACATCACGTATAATAAGGTTTACAAGTTATATTATTTTAATTACTGCCTTACTGTTATTACATATATTATTATAACAATTTCATGATTATTAATTTTGTTATTCGTCACCAGAATATAAAATATTACGATAGACAATATCAAAGGTAGTATCTACATTTTAACTAGCTGAAAAAATGAAACAATAAAATCATTCCAAATCGAATACAGGCGTCATACGTGAAAACTTCATACAGAGACCCAGTAAAGAAGAATCTAATAAAGCCAAACCAATCTGTGCCCCTCGAGACTCTACCCGCGGTTCGGGAATATTGAATTCGGAATTCGGATACACCACTCCAACGCCGACGTCTTCAAAGGTGACGCCTGATAATAAAGCAATGAGCACACGGCCTCCGTCGAAATTCCACCGAACCCGGAATGACATTCCGTCGGGGGCCTCTCCGGTCTGGCAGTTGATAAACGCGGGGAATATTAAGATAAGAATGGGGGAAACCCAGGAAGTGGAGGATTGGAAAATAACTGTGGCGCGGGGTGGAGAGTAGCTGTAATAAATGCCAGCAAGGGCTGTCGGTTCCCGTTGGAAGAATTTCGCTATAGTAATAGAAAAAATAGGGGGATGGCAATTTGTTTCCGGGTGTGTCGCTTTTTATACGTCGCCAGTTCAAAAAAAGGACAAAATGCGAGAGTCGGCCGAGTCAAGCGCCACGCACATATATTTTCTTCAGTAGCAGTCTGGATTAGGCAACACGAAATACACGCGATTGTACTTTGTTTCGAAATTAGATGCTGCACAATTAAAGGGCGAAAGTTTATTCATGTCAGTGGTACAATTACAAAGTTTGATATAATGAGAAAGTAAGAAATTAACAATACAAATTCTTATACCCAATAGATGTAGTCGTATTTAATTCCAAATATTTGAGCATATACCTTGAACCAATGAAATTTGAGCCTTATGTAAGCATGTAACGGTATTGACACCCCCTTGACTAATATCGGAAAAGAATTTGCAAACTCTTGTGTCACTGACATCCCTTCTCGGGAGCCAAATTTTGTAACGCTTCGATACATTTCACTAAACTTTAAACAGAAAAATTAATAAAAAAAATCTATTGACTGTTTTTATGCGTCACTGGCGTCCCTATTCGGACGCCGATTTTCGTGACGCTCCTTCGACTACCGGAATTTATCGGCGGCGGTGGTCGGCGGCCAGTGGGAATGAGTAACGTCACAGGGACGAACTTCGGTTGATATTTTTTTCTACTCGTTTAGTCTTGGGCGCCAGTTTCCAAATATTTTACGTGGGGGAAACT